TCCGACCCCAGCACCGGGGTCAGACGTGGCGAAAAGGTCGCTCCGACGCCGTCCGTGCTATGCATCCACGGCCGCAATGTAGGGACGGGTGAACGAGAGGAATGGGGATAATGCGGAGCTGATTGTCCCGACATTATATTGTGCGGACAAAAACTGCGCATTTTCGATGGGCTCGAACCTCCTCAAAAATTGACTGAACGTTTGCATGACAATGGATTAAAATCCGCTGTGTTCAATGGTGTGACTTGTGAAGAACTTATCAGTTTCCACTCTCGAGACGCAAAAGAGAGCGACGTCCTTAAAAAGCTCTTCTCCCGGTCCTGTGGCTGGGGACTGCGGAGGGTATGGAGACATCGCTTCGAAATCAAGGGTGTGACGTCACAGCTTACTGTCGCTGGGAGGCGGCACGGTTTTCGCGGGCCCAGACGATTTCATGATGACGTCAGGCCAAGGGGAAATCACGGCGGCTGCTGGATGCGACTCTGCTCTTTCGTCGAGTTGGAGGATATATAAATGCAGTGCTAGCATATTGGAACATGACAAAGGTGTTGGCACAGCTTGCTTGAAAGGATGAGAACGGCCACGAACTGACGACACTTTCAGGATAGAGCGTAGCTCAGTTCTGGTGAAAGCAATTGTGCCCAATACATAATAACTATACAGAAATAACATACCTGCATACGAGTGTGCACGGTAAACATATGTTGTATTAGTTTATTCGCAAGCGACCGAGCTATTGGATCCGTCGCCATTTCAGGGTGAAGGTGCGGATGCAATGCACAACACTGCCGTCACAAGATGACATATTCACTATTGAGGTGATTTCACTCCTCTGATGACACGATACAGCTTCTGGAAATGCCCTGCTCGAGCGCAGGCTACACTTAATGCGACGCATAACATGAGCTTGGCAAAAAACGATTATTAAACCTGACATAATATATATATATATATATATATATATATATATATATATATATATATATATATATATATATATGCATGTGTGTGTGCGTGTGTGTGTGTGTGTGTGTGTGGTGTGTGTGCGATTTGTATGTGTGCCTTTCATGTGTTTCTAGATAATTGCTCCTACGAGCGTCCTTTTAAGCACATCTCACCTCTTACCTCTTACCCTTTTCGACTCGATGTTAAGACAGACGACTTTATGTTGGAGAGTGTTTTAAAACTCAATGCATAAACAACTGATGCAAGATGACGTCAAACGGACACCGGCATGGTGGTATAAAAAGGTGGTGTACGGGTTTGGGTTTGGGTTTGGGTTTGGGTTTGGGTGTGGGTTTGGATCTGGGTTTGGGTTTGGGTTTGGGTCTGGGTTTGGGATTGGGTTTGGCTTCGGGTTTGGGTTTGGGTCTGGGTCTGGGTCTGGGTCTGGGTTTGGGTCTGGGTTTGGGTCTGGGTCTGGGTTTGGGTTTGGGTTTGGGTTTTTTGGGTTTGGGTTTGGGTTTGGGTTTGGGTTTGGGTATGGAATTGATGGTTTTTCCTTCCGGAAATGCTCGCGTGCATTTGGCTGCAAATAAGCCAAAGCGCTATAAGGGCAACGCCGCTGCCCACGGTATTCGCTAACTTGGCGTTATTTTTGGATCGGAACGTTGCCAGCATTAAATGTTTCCCGAATAAAATGATTCGTCAAGCAAGATTATTGTCCGACGCTACAGTTCAACCATTCGCCTCCATCAAGTCAACGGCAAAATGCGTATTCTACACACAACTACGACTATACGTGCAGACGTTCCGCCCGCCAATGACCGGGAACATGACGAAATAACAATGTGTCAATGCAATGGCAAACAGACACGGTGCCTCGATGTAGCAATCCAGGGAAGCACAGACGGGCTCGCTGTGGCCTACAGACAGTCTACATCTGCTCTCATCACAATCCCATCTCGAGATCTTTAGCATCGGCGGCCGTTCCGTTTCAGTCAGTATGTTTTCATCTCGTGCTCGCGGCCCATTTCTGGCGCTGACGTCTTTTTCGCCGGCCGCCGGATGGGTTCCGTGCGGGCAGTCTCTCAGAAGTGGCGACGGCGCCTGGCCGCCCAATCAGTGCGGGCGGCGGCCCACTTCGCGTCAGCGTCGCGTCCGCCGCGCCGCCGTTCGATGGCATCGATGACGGCCACGGCGGCCCGGCCCGGCGCCCGCCCAGCTGAGCTCTCTTCCCCTGAGCAGCGTATTTCCAGGCACCGAGGCCGTTGTTTGCGTGCACGCGGCGGTACGCCGCTGGCCAGAAGGCCGCAGTTTGGGATCTGTTCTCGATGTTGTTAAGGCGTGCCGCCACTCAGCTCCCTTGCACACGGCACGGATCGGGCCCAGCAAAGAACACTTTCGAGGTATGTGCGTGGAAAAGTTGACGTCACCTAGTTCTTATCGCATATTTATACTTGCCCTAGCTTTTCCATCTACGCGTTGTGACATTGCTGAAAACATCTCCAATATGGGCCCTGCGGGTACCCATCGCGGCATGGCTCCGCGGTATTCATCAGCGACAACGCAATAAGCAGAGGTCCATGACACACGGGACGGTGTTTCCCCCGTTCTTCATGTTTGCAGGCGACAGTTTGACTTTGCTTGCGGGTCGTGATTTCATCCTTGGTACGCCAACCATTGACTTGAAAAGCTGGCGGCTGATCCGATCTCTTGCACAAAAGATGCGCCTCGTCCAACAAGACCATCCGTCTATGGTAGTGCAATCGTCATGAGGACAGACCGCTTGTCCGGACGCTGGATTTTTCCTCCCTGTCCTTCCACACGAGTCCGGACGTCAGCCCGCCCCTCCCTGCCCTCCCACGCGTGCCCGAACGTCGGCTCATCCCTCCCTATCCTCCCACACGAGCCCGGACGCCGGCTTATTCCTCCCTGTCCTCCCATACGAGCCCGGACGTCGGCCCGCCCCTCCCTATCCTCCCACACAATTCCGGACGTCGGCCGGCCCCCTGTCCTCCCACACGAGCCCGGACGTCGGCCCATCCCTCCCTGTCCTCCGGCACGAGCCCGGAAGTGCGCCCGCCCCTCCCCATCCTTCCACACGAGCCCGTCGCAGTGCGTGCCACTGACAGCGCGTTGGTGGCGTTCGACGACCGGCGTGGGCCGTGCTGCCGTCGCCGCCGGCCCAGGACCGCCAGATGACCTCCGCCACCGCTCTGAGAGCCCCTCCCCCTCCCCTCCTCCTGCGAGCGGCCGGAGCAGCGGCCGGGACGGAGAGCAGGCCGCGCGCACCCCCTCCCAGGCAGCGCCCACCCGCCATTCTCGTGGCTTCGTAAGACGGGCAAAGTCGAATTTATCGCCAGCGGCACTGCGGCGTGCCAACAGCGGCATAAACCACGGGGAGGAGCGGCCGAGCGCGGTAGCAGCGAAGGAAGCTGCGCTGGTTCGTGTTGGGCCGTGACGCGGGTCGACCAGATGCATTATGCAGCGCCGCAGACGGAGCCGTGCGCGAGAGGTGGAAAAACACGCGCCGCCGTTGAGCCAAGCGCCTTTGAAGCATGCGAAGAGTACGAACTTCACCCAAATTGCTAAAGCCAGCTTTTAATAAAACGAGACACTTTTGCCAAGCGCACGCTGTTTACGGCAGCGTACAAAGAAGATTAGTGCTTGGTTGCTTGAAATATCAGACCAAATAATGCGCGAAAAAAGAAAACCGTTTTAACTGCCAACAGCCGAAATCAACACGAGCAAAACACCAGTTATCAGTGAGATGCACAGCATGACCATCAGCTGCCACCTAAACCTCGTATTGTTTCACATTAGCGTGACTAGTTCCACTCACGCGACACTGCCGCGAACACCTTGTAACGCAAGCATGGAGCGTGTATAGCATATGTGCTTCAATCTACCTTAAAACGCACGATATCGCTCGTTATGTGCCGAACATGTCAGAGGTAGGCGCATACTATCTCACTCCACGACTCGTTCAGCGTCCGTACAAAACATTTCATGTTTTGTAATTGCCGTGTTCATCTATGTTGAAATTTTTTTTTCTCATTGATCCCGCTTTCTTCATTAAACATCTGTACCAGCGTTATATTTATAAAGCTGGGCGTTTACCGATGATCATCACACAAACATCCTGAGAACACTTGAGCAAGTCCTAATGGATAGAAGTTGAGGGTATGTAACTGGGAAAGGTCACCCGCAGGAAAGGCTCGATGATCACAGTTTCCACCAATGTAACGCTAACAGCCCAAGCAATTCAGACGACGATCGAAATAGAAAAGCTCAACAAACCTATCCTGAACTCCAAACAATATCGCCCACGGCCCTCTTCTTCCGTCTCCCCAAGGCCAAGGTACATAACCTCTCTTCTTACCACGATATGCTTCACAAAGGCGCGCCAAGGGGTTTGATGCTTTTTTCCTATCAGAGACACAGTTGGCCTTCCAATATGTGTTTTCCTGAACCAAGTGTTGACAGTTTTCTGCCGTGCTCGAACAGCGCGTTGCTCCAGTACGTAAAATGTACGCGGAACAAACGACAGATGAAACACTTTGGGCAAGGCCAGAGAGCCTCAAAAAGATCCAAGTATCTTTAGAGATTTGCAGAAAGTCCATTTACGCGCAGAGAGCTTTGAACATGCTCAAAAACTGCCTGTCATTTCCATACCCTCCCAGATGTTCCCGCACTCTCCCAGACACCCTCAAATTGTCCATAACACTTCTGCAAATCCCCAAGAAATCGCATCAATTGCAAACGCATCTAGACAAATCCCCACATTGTCCGACAGAGCTACGCATCAGCACTACGCGTAAGGCCGCGCCGCACATCTATCTCCCTGACGTGGGACTCTACCAGCCACCTGACCCACTGATGTGGGACCCTGCCAACCACCTGCTCCCTGACGTGGGACCCTGCCAACGGCTGCCTCCCTGACGTGGCACTGTGCCACTCTCCCGCCTCCCTGGCGTGGCACCCTACCAGTATCCTGCCTTCCTGACGTGGGACCATGCCAACCATTTGCCTCCCTGACGTGGGACCCCACCACTCACCTGCCTCCCTAACGGGCTTGACACTGAGCTGGCTGCGCCGTACGCGCAGCATCTCCAGCACATGGCCGTTGACGAGCAACGCGTGGCCGGCCGGCGCCGCCTCCGACACCGACTGCGAGTCCGAGTCACCGCACTCGGCGCTGAGAGAGTCGAGCGAGCGTGTGGTTGACTCGGACTGGCCGCTGCTGATGGGCGGCTCCTCCCCGCCGCGCACGTCGCCGCCCTCCAGGTGGCTGGCGCCCGAACTGGACGAGCGCAGCGCCTGGAACGCCGCGTCCTCGATGAACTTGGAGATGGAGCTGCTGTTGTTGGTGACGGTGCTGTACGAGGTGGCGTTGATGATGTTGGCCAGGCTGGCGTTGAGCGCGCAGATGGCGCTGGCCAGGCTGTACTGGCGCACGCCCGGGTCGCTGCGGCGTCGCAGCAGCGGCTCGTCGGTGGCCGGCACAGACAGCAGGCCGTGGTGCACCACGCAGTCCAGTGAGCTGCGCCCGAACTTGCGCACCGGCACGTGACTCTGGTTGAGGATGAGCTCAACCGCATGGTCCTCGCCGTAGCTCTCCTCCTCGTTCTTCACCGTGTAGATGCTGGAACACGTACACGACGAACATGAGCGACGGCATGCTTAAACTTCATGTGATGCACATGGTACATTTTGACCGATGCTTTTCATTTCAGCTAAAGACGATTTTGTGAATGTATGAAATAAGCTAGCGCTCCTGCTTTATGCTTTGCATTGTAATGCATATTAATCCAGGGGTCGCATTAATAGAGGGCGTAGACGGATTCGTGCAGCCTGCCTCAGACACAGGCTTTGCTAATGGCCATAGCAGTTATGTACGTCACTCGCTGCTTTAACGGTCGTCATTAGCTATCTAAATACACCGAAGATAGTCAATTTCTGGATGCTGCAGTCATTGTTGACTGATGGGACATTAGCGGTGGACATCAAGCGTCACTTTCCGGATTAATGTTTATGCGGAGCTCCTATCCGAATATATGCTGGATGCAGGCTACTAATACGAACTCATCAGCAACTCAATCTCCCCAGCCGCCCGGTAATTAAATAGCTGGGGACCCCGCAGTGTGCCTGATTGATCTGCTGAGTCAACAGAGATGTTCCATAGCCTCTGAACGGTCAAACTCTGTGCCACTGTCGTAACAGGAGCCCGAGTTTTGAGTCTATATCTTCTCAGCACCTCACGCTGTACAAAAGCTGGCTGTTTGAAATGTCTGTGAAAACTCACGACGAACGCTTCTTAGCCAACACCACGGTACATGGGATATCCTCTCCAGATATGTACCATCAGGTATTCAAAGTAGTTACCTAGGTAAAGAAGACTCCGATTACTTGGAACGCTGTTGTTATGTAGCTACTGTGGAGCCACGCGGCACTGTTATTTTACCATAGCAGAGGGGTCGGTGCTGGTCGGCACGCACCCATATACCCTCAAACTACTTGTCGCCTTTTAATTTCCTTGCCTGCTCTCGAAATGCGAACGCCATTTCCGATAGCCGCCCCACACGGCAGCGCGCCAGCTAGCGCCAGCACCGCGGCCGGTGCACCGACAGTCAGGGGTTACGGTCAGCTGTGGGGGGGGGGGGGGGGGACAACAGCGGCCAAACAAACTACCTGCAGCCCGGGCCGCAGCAGGGGCCTAACAGCTTTGGGCCATATTCTGGTGCCCCGCAGCCACGCTGAGCGGCGCCTCGCAGCCACGCTGAGCAGCGCCTCGCAGCCACGCTGAGCGACACCCCGCAGCCACGCTGAGCGGCGCCCCAAAGCCACGCGGACTCGACATAGCCGGAAGGTGTCCGCCTGGGATCAGTTTCAAACTCCGGCGCCCGACTCACGCGGCAGATAGCGGCCGGATGCCGGAAATGAGTGTGCTGCTGGGCCGCGACGCGGCGCGTCTGGGCCGGCGGCACGCCATCGACCGCCGTCCGCCGGCCGCCGCGCCGCGCCGCGCCGCGCCGGCACCCTGACCTGGAGCGGCTCCCCGCGCGGTGGGCGGTGCGCACGCAGTCTGGTATCAGTCACCTCCGGTGGTGTGCCATATGAACACGGCAGTCGCTCGGCGCGCTTTTGGATACCACATGGACACGGGCCAAGCGGCAAACTTTGCCGACATTATGGACTGGCCGCGTAGAGTCAACGGTGGCTAAGCGCCCCCGGTGATTGAGCCCAAACTTGCGTTTAAAGTTACATTAGATATTCTCGGCAAACTTTTAAGACGCAAACCCGCTCAATTCGTGACCAACGTAATAAAAGCATAGGATAATGGCAGCATCACATATTTAACACCACGCTAGGGTATCCCATGAGGAACTGATCGGAACAGAAATAAAAATGCCTGACATTGAAAAATCCGCGACATTTTGGGCAAGAACAATTGTACGGCGCTGTCGCTCGACCCATTGTTTGACACTTGACGTCTTCTTTATTGCTACGGCAGCCATTACCTGCCTCCCGTTACGGACATAGACCAGGACGTCTGAACGCCACTTAAAAATCAGGATATGGATTTCCTTTTATTTGATCAGTTCCACTAGCACGCCAGAGATCAATCACAAAATTTACTGTAAAACAGTCAAAACACTACGTGCCTGTGGTTTTTGCTTAACACATTCTGAGCTAAGCAACAGCGCACTTCGCACAGGCGTAGCAAGATGGATGAAATCCACATTTCATTTCAATGTAGTAATATGTGGTCCTTGAAAGCACGATGTCATGGTTCTTAATAATGTTTATGCCAGACAGCGGTGTATTACGTGCTGCGACTGCGCGTCATTTACCCCGGAATGGGAACATGTCTCACGTGGCAATAGCCTCTAAGAACTGGCTCGCTTCATCCTACAGTAGCAGCCAATGGGGCCCATTAAACGATCAAACGTATGATGGATACACTCGGAGCGCCAAATGCGTGGAATTCACCGGGAGCCAAGCTTAACACACGCCCAGGTGGCCGGCTAGATGCCCTTCGCTCGGGTGGGGGTCAACTTGACCCTTCTGAGATCTCAAGAACTAGAAGAGCTAAAGACACCAAACTTACAAGGTGTATTGACCTGTACGCAAACTCACCTAGGTCAAATTTTGAGGTTCATAGGTCATGACCTTCGGGTCGAAGAAGGTCAAACAAGGTCAAATGTCAGGTTGGTCTCCAAAGTACCCCCAGAACCTAGTTAACTGTTTCTAAGCAAAAGGACACATGCTCAGTTAAGGTCAGTGACCTTGTTTGACCTTTCGAAGATTATGGTGACCAATATCATACATGACTGCCTGAGTTTTGCATTTGAATAAGCGACAAAGATTACGCTAGGCAGTATGTCCCTAAAAATAAAATTTTTACCTGGTTTAGGTTAATGACCTATTATGACCTTTAAGAAGTTCATGGAATATTTATAATGCGGCTCCTGCCATCAATAAATTAGAAATGAGCGCCAGAAACTCACCCATACATCAAGCCCCAGAACAATTTAACGGGTTAGTTTTGACCTTAGTCTGACCTTCAGATCTGACCTTAGGTCAAATTTGTTTGCTCATTCAATATTGGTGTTGCTTATGAAAGCATCTCAGAGATGCATGGCTTCGTCTAACACTCCGTTGTTTCATCAGATTGAACGGTTCCCTAGAAATTGACTTCGCTGAAACCACGGCCTGACTTTGACCTGCCATAGTTAGCGACCTTACAAGGTGCACCTAAATTTTTGTTACCAAACGATCCGCTATTCAATTGTATGCAGCTATGCAAAATTTGGCGTGGCTGCGCCGCGCCGTTCGGAAATCATTCTGGAAAAAACTCCGGAGGGTCAATTTGACCCCCATCCGGGCGCGTGTTAGTAAGCAGTGCTAACGACGTGATATTCATCCAGTTCCACGAACACCAACATATAAGATGACCGGTCGCTAACGGCTATGCTACAACGCCCACACGAACGAGAAAGACCGCAGCCATGATTTCAAGTGTTAGAGGAATCTCAACTGGCGATTATGCCCCTAATGATAATGTAGCGGCAGTCAGGAGCAAAACCAATTAGGTGGTGCGTGCTACGTATCATTTAAACGCTAACCACACGTAACGGCAGCCAGTCGGTTGTGCTGTTTTACTTGTGTCTCACATGTCTCACAAGGGCAAAACAACCATCAAAGAAGGCACAAAACCTTCGACGACAGCGGACCGAAGCACACTGGGCTGACGCCGCGTCACCGGGAACCCTGACCTCCGCACCTCGCGCCGCCGGCGGCCTTACCTGGGCTCGTCCACGTTCTCTACGATGATGTTGCCCATCTCGAGCTCGAGCCGGCTGGCCACCAGGTCGCGCTGGAAGTGACCGGGCGGGTGTCGCATCGGCTCCTGCGCCGCCAGCTCGCCCAGGTTGTCGGTGGAGGCTGCGATCGACGGCAGCAGTGCGTGCTGTACCGACGGTCGCTTCCTGCCGCCGCGACGAGGAGGGGCGTCAGCCGAGCACGCACTCCCCACCACGGCGAGGCGGCGAGGCCGGGGGAGCCAGCGCCACGTTGGCAGCAAATGCCGTTTTCTAAAGTTGATAATGGGTGCTCCAATGCACAGTGTTTTAATCCTTAAGACCCGTTCGGGTGGGAGCGACGGAATTTGGCCTCAAAGGTTTTTCAAAGTTGTTTAACTTCATCGGTGTCCGATGGGCCCCGAGCTCGATCAGCCTTTTTAGGAACGTACTGCCTAGCGTAATTCTAATAACAACCCCCACCCCACCCTGCACCTGAGCAGCGTCGCAATCGACTATCCACCCAAGCGCGTGTAAAATTTGGTCCTTGGTGGGGAGAACCAAAAGTGTCCGTAAACGTTCCAATGATATTGTCTATTTATACTATGGTTGGCTTTCCAACTATGAAGGCAACTGACACCTACATAAGCTTCGTGCCGGATAGGCGAGCGGGCAGGCCAGTTTGGTGTACCTATGACACGAAGGGTATTTGGGTATATTTGCTTCTTTCCCGCCCCCCTTCCACTCCTTCGAAAATATTTGATGAGTCTTCAACGAAAATAAGTCAGGTGATAACTTCACTCGTCGTACTTTACGTTGTGGGTGTATCCGTCGTCCTGTGGGTGCCCGTTCCAAATTTATGGGTGCCGGGGCACCCACAGCCACATGACGTACTTCCTCGTCTGGGGGGGGGGGGGGGGGGGAGGGGGCAACAAGAGCAGAGAACGCCAGCGATATAGGCTGATAATCGGAATGGCTAAGCATAAGACGCATGACGGCAAACACCAGCGGCCTCGCCATGAGTCATAAATTACGGCCGGCGGCCATTGAGGTCTTCTCGACTTTTATGGCCATACAAAGTTATAGGCACAAAAATCAAATACCTTAACCACTGACAACTTGTCTCCTGTTTTCCTCTGCATCCGAGCCCATATGATTCAGATCTTGCGAACGGTTCAAGACTTCGCCTCTCAGGCAGAGCGGAGTGTTGAGCACTGGCAATAAAGTTCCAGAAGACGTCTTAAGTCGCCTCACTGGTGACTGAGGACGGTGGATGTGGAGTCCGAATGAATGTTGAAATAATAGTCTGCACACAAAATAACTCTTCATACCCGTTTCAGAAGGTTGCGGAGTGAACATGATCCTAAACGCTGACAAGCACTAAGCACTAAGCTTGTCATTTTTGCTGACGGTTTCTGTTGATTGATTGTCCCCCAGACGTGCATTTTTACCGATGGGATTAAACGAGTTCAAACGTCTTTGAAATTGATGGCAAAAGTTCGTGTGAAACTGACGGTTCTCTACCGAATAACACATAACTCTTAACACATAAGTTGTTGGTCAAAGGTTATGACTGTACAGGGTCGTGTTGTTTGTGCAAAATATTTTACCAAAAACTGCGCCCATATTCCAATAGCACTTGTCAAAACTGGCAGACAAATGCTGAGCCGGCGTTGAAAACATTTCCATTAAATCGGGCATTGCACTGAACCCGTACCACCCGCATCAGAGTGATAATCGATAGTGTTTGAACAAAATCGGAACAAGCAAACAGAAGGGAGCCACAAAAACAGGTGCAATTTATGTTTCTTCTGGAATTTCAATTCACCTAATTCAGAGACTTTGCGCTGTGGAGTACTAATAACGTGGTCGCGAGGGTCCAAGGTTCACAGTCAACATATTAGCTCCCACTTCAATCAGTGTCAGAGATTGCGACCGTGCTCACGGAGCGTTGCACTTCGTTCGACCCAGCTCGACACCCAGTAATAAGCTCCACAAAAAATGTTGTACACACACACGCGCATGCACGCGCATGATCAGGCGCGCATGCACACGCATACGCAAATGAATACTTACACCCATACTTACACCCACCCACGCACATATACACACAGAGATGCATGCATATATATATATATATATATATATATATATATATACAGACTAACTGACACGCCTAAGGCTTAAAAGCCAGTATTTACCATGTGGCACACCATATTTTAGTTCCAGACTGCACTGATTAGAAGACAATGCAAAAAAGCAGGACCGCTGATCATGAGGACACAACGCAATATTGGCTAAGAACTAAAAAAAAAAAACATAACGAAGTCACAAAAGCAGCACATTTTAAAGATGCCTGAGCATGTCCTGCGATCAGTGGGACAAGTGCACGGTGAGAGCGCTCCGACGGACCACTGACCTGCACGTGGAGTCGACGGTGTCCACCTCGTACTCTGTGTAAGAGCAGAGCGACGTTATCTCCGTGCTCTCGGTCATGGAAGGCCCTGCGAACAGCCGACAGTCAGCCGCCCAGAGCCGCCCGGCCCCGGCAGATCGACCCATGGAAGGCCCTGCGAACAGCCGACAGTCAGCCGCCCAGAGCCGCCCGGCCCCGGCAGGTGGACTCATGGAAGGCCCTGCGAACAGCCGACAGTCAGCCGCCCAGAACCGCCCGGCCCCGGCAGGTCGCCCGACTTTGGCCGCACCGGCCCGCACCCAGAGACGCGCGCCCTCGCACGACCGGCATGGCCGGCAGACCACCGGCAGGACCAGGAGAGGAGAGCAGAGGATGAGGACGAGGACGGGGACAATCGGCGGGACCAGGAGAGGAAAGCACAGGATGAGGACGAGGACGGGGACGATCGGCGGGACCAGGAGAGGAGAGCACAGGATGAGGACGAGGACGGGGACGATCGGCGGGACCAGGAGAGGAGAGCACAGGATGAGGACGAGGACGGGGACGATCGGCGGGACCAGGAGCGGAGGGCACAGGATGAGGACGAGGACGGGGACGATCGGCGGGACCAGCAGACACCGAGACAACAGGAGGGACGAGGAGACGGCAGGAGGGAACGAGGACAAAGGGCTTGTCGGGCCTCGTTACTGACCAACAAAAAGGTTGTCGGGATATGGGATCTGAGTAGTTCAGTTCAGCTCAGCTCATCTCATAGCTCAGCTCAGCTGAGTTGGTCTCATAGCTCAGCGGAAGAAATAGGCGGTAGAGCTGGGATATGAGATAAGGCGTATGATTGTTATGGCGTCCAAAACAGCTAGGGCTGAATCCATGTGACAAGAAAATTACGTCCGACTGTTGGATCTGTATGCAGTGCTACAGAGGCACGTTTTATTCGGGTCCACCATAGTTTTCTAAAAAAGACAGTGCGTATGGCATGTAATCGTGACCTTTCGAATTTTAGGGATGTGGCATGGAATCGTGACCTTTCGAATTTTGCGGATGTGGTATGGAATCGTGACCTTTCGAATCTTGGGATGGAGAACTGCGTATAATAACATAGGTTCACCACTGGACGAATTTTGGGGATGGAGAACTGCGTATAATAACATAGGTTCACAACTGGACGACGTTTTAGGAAAGCTCTGTCCATTCTGTGCTTTGTGTCCGGTGTTTTTCTCACAAAGATGTATAACTAAAAAACAAGTTGCGTATACTTTAATCACAGTTATTTACAACCGAATTATAACCATCAAGAGTGGAAGATAGCCATAAACGTAAAAACATTCACACTACAAACCGGGAGCTTTTGTATAAAATACAAATTAGTGACAGCGTGGGAATTGGGTGAACTCACTGATGTAAAGCTATACAAATATTTCGGGTGCCATGAATCTAGCATCCATAGCTTAATCAGGAACCTTGTGAGACGTTGACTGCCCGCTATCGTAACCTGCACAAGTTAATTACAAGCAAGCCCGGAGGTCGGGCAAGTCTCGTTGGAGCCATGGTTTAATCTTCTAGTTTAGAGGCTAGATCCGGCCCGACCGACCCTGGCTGTTCCACTTTCCAAACGCTAATCTCTTTGCAATCACTTTGTTATCTCCACTGATGGCACACTCGTACGGTTTCCAGGAACACGAAACACAACTCTTTATTTGTTGTGTCATATCAATCGTTAGATATTCACGTGACAGCGAGCATCGAGTTCCATTGGTGCAAGCTGTTTCATGAGGCAAATTTTCTCTACAACATTGAAGTCATCGCGACTGCATCTCCATTCAGTCACCGCCGAAGAAGCAGAATTGTAAACTTAGATTTGAAATAAACTGGTCGAAACTTCACAAACCTGGGATACGCGACGTAGAGGCGACATGAGACTGCAGGTTCTGACGGAAAACGAAACAGCCCATGGTGTCGGCAAAGGTGACCGTTGATCCATGCAATGTGCGGCAGGTCAAGCGCTCTGGCGCGCCAGCCCAGCCTTCGCCTCTTCTGGGGAATATCTCGGCGTCTTGGTAAAGTCCACTGATATCGGCTGTTGAAGCCGCCGGCGTCACAGACTTAATTTTAGGCTGCATCCACATGATCCCGACGTCTTTCACATACGTCACCGCCTCATTTGTGCCACGCCGTGCAGGGCGTTTTCTTGGTGTTGTTTTGACCATCTTGAGTAATGTGGTTGCCATAGATGACGAGAGACTTTGGGCTACAAGCCTGACTTCCAGCAGTTTTTTTCGACCAGCTCCCATCCTATTGTAGGTGACAGGTGAAGCTATATATGATGGGTGAGATGGCAGTAGCTGGAGAACTGCCACCCTGGCGAAGAGGCTGCGATGTGCCTGCCAAACCCGCGGCGGCGGGCTCGCGGAAATCACACGCCTTTAAACAGACCTTTTCGGTTCTGTGATCTATCCGATGGCATGACCTTGCTCTGGACCACCTATGACTGCTATGCCTGATAGATCGGGATAGGCCCGCCACGTGCGTCCGTGCCATGGTGGGCATTCCGATCCCAGACGAGTGGTCCGAAGACTGCCTCGAAAACCGCCTCAAATAGAAACGTCAACAGTGTACAGTGTGTGTAAGTGTTTAAGTGAGTTCATGTGTATGTGCGCGCTAAAAGTCCGTGAAAGAAGCCACCAACTAACAGCGACAGGAGTTTGATAGGGGATTACCAAGTCATACCCTAGGCATCAATGATACATGTGGCGGGTCAAACCACGCCTGATTGCTAGCGGTGTTCCCAAAACACACGGTGTTTTGAGAAAAAAAAAAACATACCATTAGCAATCTGATTAAGGGCAATCAGGTGACATTCGTGTACTCGTACTGCTTCGATACTGCTCAGACACTGTCCGATGTAGCTCCGATGCTGCTAAGCCACCGTCCGAAATTGCTTCGATACTGCTCCGATACTGTCCGATGTAGCTCCGATACTGCTCCAAAAAAGTGGCGCAAATACTTGTAAGGCATACAACACGCACAGGTTAACCTGGTACATCGTCTCAAAACACAGGAACCCAAGGCACCCGTCTCCCGTAACACTGATCTTGTCTTCCTCCCACGAACCATTCCAGAATAGCGTGATTAACTGCATCTATATTATGACGAATGGTTCGTTTTGCTGAAGACTTCAGTGGAGCCAAACAAAAGATGAAAAAACCTCGGCTGGTTTTACATAAGTTGGCGGTGGTCCATCGATTAATGCAGTGGGCTAAGAACGAGAGTCATTTTGTTAAGCAATATGACGTCACCGAAGCAATTTAAACTGAACACCTAAATAACGGGCGATTTTATTCGTATTAAGTGTATCCATTAACTTGGGTTCTTTGCTTGAAGAGCTTATGTCAATGCAGTTTTTCACTAGTTTCCTGGCACTTCACAAAACTGGAACTTCGCTGAGGATGACATGCGTACAGCGCATAGCCTGGTTTTTGTCGGGGACCAGATAGGTTTTGTTTGATTACATGAAGCAACAATGCATTTTACGACACAAAAGGCAGAACTTGTACCGAACAATATAAATGTGCCAAAGTGTCAGATCAACGGGTATCTACATGTTTCCGTCTCTATGATAATATGTTGACGGACAGCAGAAAGGACTTGAGCAGCATGCCAGAGTTCAAAAGTAGTGCAACTGCCCCAGTGAATAATGCACTGAAGCGGTATGCTTCTTGAGTTGTGCTTGTGTCGACCCTATGTAACGCAAAGGCCATGAGCCATGCGGGCGCTGCGATTTTAGGTTTACGTCATATGTATATGCTAAGATCTACTTCTCTGCAAGCCAGGTGAATAATCAAGCTCATTAATTGTAGCAACTGGTTTTTGCGGACATGGTCAGTGCGTTTCAAAATGATGTATTGTTTGCGTTTCTTTTTGTTGCAGCCTGCGGAATATCAATATAACAATCGCATAAGAGGAGCAATGAAATATGCTGGGATGTTAGACCTTTGTCACTTTTCTTCTCCTTTTTTGCTTACTTTTTTACTTTTTATTTATCTGAACTTTACACTGTCTGTTTAAAATCACAGAATAAAAACTTGGATACGATCTACGTAAGTTTTCATCTGAATACTTTTGTTGGGCCGGACTGACCTGCATGGATTCAGAAACTTAAAAAAGCCAGATTGGCAGGCGAATTGGATTTTGAAGAACCGGATCGGAATGGATCGGAATGGATCGGATTCTAAATGCCCATCCGCAAAGTGCTCTATAAGAAGATGCCGTGTAAGAAACAGCGCAATACAGATGCTTCTGCTGTAATGCCAAAACCATTGCTGGACACAAGAGAGTACCTTTTTATGTTCGCAAGTATGTCGGAATGAAATTAAGTCGGCTGTAACACAATGGTTTGGAAAGCACACAATCGACCAGTAAATATTTCAGTACCAAACAAATTGTATGGAAATATACAACAGTCAACACGTTTGTCACAATAATGGACAGCATCACACATTATTTGAAACTGGGCAGGCTAAAGGACCAAAACTCGAAACAGACCGCTCCGCGGCTCAAATATGTTTGGCTAACGCAGCGTTAATGTAACTTCAAAGATACGAAATACGATAAGATGTCAGAAATCATGCAATCATCCGTGCGTTTATGCATGCAGTTCGTGCCAAGCCTATTTTAACGAGCAGTGGACCAAACAGCTCCACATTGCAGTCACGGGTGCAGGTCAAACAGGCGGTTCACGGTCCGTCCGTCGGCGGCAATATGGCTGCCGGCGTGCGTCCGGATCGTGTTGGGGCCCCACTAGTGGCGCCCGGTGCCAGGTCAGGCCCGTGCTTCGTTTTGGACTGAGGCACCTGCGGGCCGGCAATGCGTCCATCTACGACCGAACCCCGCACGTGGGTGAGCTGCTAATGGCGCAGTCTGGTGCCGCCTGAAGTAGCGTAACGTTGCTGGTTGGCACCAGGCTCCGTTTGCGCCGGCGTTTACGTCGGCGGCATAAGCGTGCATAAGCGTAGTAGCGTAAACGTCGTCGGCTGGTGGCACGGGTGAAACGCCCGCGTGCGTTTCGCGCCCCTGTTGTTAAGCGTCTCACATTTTACGCTCTTAAGATGTGGGCTGGAGGTGTCCCTGTTGTGATATGATGACAGGCTGGCAGGCTGGCAGGACAGCCCCTATTCAGACAGATTTCACCAGCTGCAGGGTGATCATGCCCAGACGCTGCAAGGTATTCGTGCCGCATCTCCATACCACTGGACGGATAATGTATAGCCCATGGGATTTGCACATCAGGTCCACGGAAGATTTTAATCTGACCAATGCGCGTGGTTTGTCCGGGGACGGCCACGTTCAAGGTCAGCAGCGGCACGCACAACTCTTCCCCCTACACGTGATTGGTGCGTTCAGCCGATTACGGCATAGGCTAAACAGAGCCAGCTGTTTCCAAACTAGGTGCACTGTTTGATGTTTGCAACGAATGCGTCGGTGGACATTCCTTGTCAGACAGCTAGATTGGGTAGCACGCGACATGGGTGCATGCCCTACCCAACTGCCATTGAGCGGGTAACGTCCCAAACAGGAATACAACACATTGGATAATTGAGGCGCGTTTCAGCCTCATTGCTATGCATGTTTCGTTTGGCGCTGCTAGCAACAGGGCTAGCAGCTGCATGCGCAGGCTGCACTCCTCACACACTGGGTGGCTGAGTGGGGCAGACAGCGGGGTGAGATAAAACCACCAAACTCGGTGCGGTTTGCGTAGCCTGTAAGCGGCACAAGGCTGCTCACGTTTTCGTGGCGTAAGTACGTTGCGTAGCTGGTGAAACGCTCACTCACTTTTGACAGTCCTGTACTTCCTTTAGCCACGCCCGGCATCCAGACACTACACTTTGTCCGCTCGCGAGCGTTCACTTTGTCTAAGGAAGAATTGTATGTCATTAGTGCGCGCGTTTTGATGGAGTGCGGTCGGCGTTGCTGCTGGCGGGTATTCGCGCAAACTTGTACCCGCCGCACACACTCGGTGGCCTTGTGTCATTGGGGCTTTACAACGCACTGAGCTGCTGAGGCTATATGGCATCGCCCGCCTCTCAACCCGCAACGTGGTGCCTGCAGGACGGGCGGGCACCGCGGGGAATCGAACCCAGTACCTCTGGTTTCCTAGACGCATGGGTGGGATTGTGTTGACAGTGGAATGAACTAGAGCAGCCAACCTTGATAAGCCGATTGATGTTGACAACCGGTTACCCTAATGCGTAATAGGTAATAATATCAGCGAGTATAAAGGCGAGACTACAGGTGGGTATAGGTAAGATGTGTGAGGTGGGAACCCCCTCGATTTATGGCGTTTAGGCCAGCACCAAGTTATGCTTTGGAGACCCATAAAGCCGAGTGGCCGTGTCGCAAATCGCGATCCTTTCTTTTCTTTCCAATGCCGGTAAACATTCATAACTGAACTGTCTGGGATGACGGCGTACCTTTGAATGAAGACTGTCTGATCGGGACAAGGACTGCAGGCAGGTAGTGATGGGGAAGGAGGGGCGACACAGCACGCGTGCCCCCCCCCCCCCCCTTTCCTAGGTTTCACAGAGCCGACGATTGATGACCAACTGGGGAGCCGGAAGGGCTGGCTGGAGGCCCTTTTTAGGGACCCTTTTTAGGGCTCGCTCGATAGGAGGCCCTTTTTAGGGCTCGCAGGGCCGGGAACCTCAAGCTTTAATTTATATGCCGTTTGCGCTAGTCGGGAGGGGGAAGGGGCTAGAACAGTGAGGGTCTCTACGTCGGTCAGAGAGCACCGATACCGAGCAGTTGGCCCCGTACCGGCTTAGAACCCATTTCCCAAGCAGAGGAAAAGCCGAGGCCCGCAAATGCTAATCCGGAGACCTCTCACGTATGCCAGGCCCTCATGATAACGCGTGCCCGAGGGCGGTCAGACCTCTCGCGTATGCCAGGCCCCAGGATATTGGGTGCCCTGGGCCGATCAGACCTCTCGTCTATACCAGGCTCCCAGGATAATGGGTGCTCCGGGCCGGTCAAAAGATCAACAAACAGGGGATCGATCCTATAACACTAAGGGCCCGAGTCAGCCAGGGGCACATTTTCTGAGCAGGGAGAAGGATGGCACACCGAATTCCAGTGGCTCCTTGAGTTGGGCTGAGCCCGGGAGTTAATGAGATTTTCTAGATGCCGATGAAAGAGTTAATCATAAAACAGTGGAATGAACCCATGTCAGACAGGGGCCCAGCGGCAAACGGGGCCCCCATCGCGTTTCGGCCGGGGACTCGATAGCGAAACTGGGGTACTCGTGCCAATTATTGGACCTCTTGTGCCCGTAGATGACTTCGTTGTGTCAGCGCAGGCCCCTACGTCGGTCCGGGGTCGACCGCCGCAGTCGGAGGTCTCCTGTGCCAGGGAGGTGAGGAATGTGTGGTGTATTCTCCTAGGAGTTCAGAGGCCATTGACCCCGGGACTTCAGATGATAATCGGTTAGCAACCGGGCCGGGACGGACAGGCCCTCCACCCCCTGACTGGGAAAGATGGTGGCCTCTTAGCGTTAAATCCACGGGGCCTCTCCAGGGAAGCATCCGTCGGCATGGCTGGATGAAAAACAAAGATAATTGATGCCCCATCGAACCAATGCCTTTTTGCACAGGGGAGCGCTTTTGTCCGGTGACCTTCATTAACCTCTGTAAACTTCTTAGCAAGGATTTGGCGACGATCCTCCATCGCACAAAAAAAGGGACTGGGGACATTGCACCGAGAACAAACACGCATTCAGTTCTAAGCGAAACGTTAGCGATATGGAACATGTTTATGTAGCGCTTTCTGAAAGCGTGCGCATCAGCACACAGATGCCTGCGACATGCCTTAGCCCGAGACATCTGCGCTTTAACTAACGGATGCACAAAAGAACTCAGACCATTACAGCTTTTAGCCCATGACCTATCCAAGCCCGGACAGATCGATATCCGGTAATGGTGCCGCCAGACAGTGCGCCTCGTCCACCACCAGTGAGCGCCACCACCGCCTGACCAGCTGACCGACGGCGCCTCGCGCTGCCACTGTGCCGGCCCCCGCAGGGCCGCGTTCAAATGGCTGGCTGCACGGCGCGGCCTCACTGGGCCCATTTACGGAGCGGCGCCGCTGACCGGCCCCATGGATTACGTGTGAACACGACACGGCCGGGCCCGCCGCGCCGGCGAGCGGCCGACCGGGGCGGACTCGCGCGGATCGACCCCCGTCGGCGCGGCGGCCCGAAGCCGAGTCGAGCCCGCGGGCTGGCGCGTGAACTGGCAGCCGGGGGGCCGCCGGGGACCGCGCGCCGGCCGCTAGAAGCTTTGCAAATGAGGCGCGAGGCGAGGATGGAAACTGAGCACCGTGAGGCTCAGCTGGAAAAGGAGGCGATTATGGCGAGGGCTTGCACCATGACATGCTGGGCCAAATGTGACTGTGCGGTCGCGATGTCAGACGTGCGCTGGCTCCAGCATGCGTACTAGAAACAGCCAGGCAAGCAAATCATGCTAGAGCTATTGACCGCCAGCTGTCTGATCTTCATTCATACACCAGACTTTCCGCGTCTGCAGCCGGTGGGGCACGTGCGCTGAAAGCCGGAGCCGAGGGCGACGGCACGTTTAATGAGTGTGACCGTGACCAAACGGCGACGCTCAGCTGACAACAAGCGGTTCAGAGCGCGCGGGCGACCTGGACACACCGACCTGGATTGGAAACAGCGAAAGCCTGTGCTGGGGTGTCAGTCGGCCGCAGGGCGGCGTGTGCACGCGGCCAGCCGCTCGTGCCACAGACAACACCGGAGCGAGCGAGTCGGAGGTGTTTACGTGGCTTGCCTTCCATGCCCAGACAGGACAGGCGCGGCACGGCCAGCCGGCTGCCGGCCATCCGCTGGTTCAGGTACTCGTGCGCCTCCTCTCCCACCTGGCGCATCAGGTGCTGTCGGACGGAGGGCGCCGCGCGTCAACAGGGCGTCGCGCGTCAGTCAACAGGGCGTCGCGCGTCAATAGGGCGCTCCGCGTCATCAGGGCGCCCCGCGGCACCAAGGCGACCCGCGTTACCAGGGTGCCCGCTTCACCAGGGCGCCCCGCGTCACCAGTACGCCCGCGTCACCAGGGCGCCCCGCGTCACCAGAGCGCCGCACGTCACCAGGGCGCCGCACATCACGGCATGGCGCGCCACGGCAGCAAGCAGCGACGGCCTCGAGAGACGCAAACAGATGGGATGAGCAGTGAAGCACTGAGCAGCGATATGACCGGCTTGACTGGTGAACACTGACAAGAGCATGACGGGGACTCCCACCGGACTCTTCCCTCTCACGTCACGCAACGTAACCATTAGCGGGATAGCGGACGCGTTGCATGCCCGACCCGGCGCTGCCAGAGTCAATGGCGGGACATAAAGAACTGGCAGCGAGCCTCGCTCTCCATTCGATCATTGCCACTACCTATGCCCACCGCCTCAGTTACCCAGATCGCAGGGGTTTGAGTCTGCTCACGGCGCAGTCCTGATTCGAAGGGATCAAACTGGGCGGGCTACAGCTAGCATCTTGGAAAGCGACACTGAAGTGCGCTGATATTTCACGCGTCCATCCGCGGCTATCTTTTACCGCATTCAGCTGACACCCCGGCGCCCGCAGGTTCCCCCGCATGCGGTCTCACTCCCCGCCGAGAGCCAAGACCGCTCCAAGTTAGGCCCAACCCCACGCGTGGAGAGCGGCCACAAAAGTTGGCGTCACAGCAAGGCCGCTGGAGCGAACATCTTCCGACCGATGAGTGCTAAAATAGTGTTTGTTCTGGGAAAAGTTAGCGGTACCCTCGCCACATCTGCCACACTATTGTCCACCTGTGCCCAGCTCCCACTCAAGTTCGCTACTCAACTCACATCAAATCCTTATTAAGCTTCGCCGTACGAGGTACGCCCAGCTTTTACACAGGAGCCTGCAACACGCCTTACACCAACCTTTTCTGGAGCGGCCGCAGCTGAGCTTACACCTGGATCAGACTCGTCGTTCCGGCTCAACACAAACTCAGCTCTTACCGCAGAGCCAGCGGCTGCCTAACACTCACCGCCCAGGTCCTGTCCCAGCGCCGGCAAGCCCTAGCACTCACGTTCAGCTCCTGTCCCGGCGGCGGCAGCCCCCAGCACCCATGTCCAGCCCCTGTCCCAGCGCTGGCGGCCCCAGCACTCACGTCCAGCTCCTGTCCCAGCGCTGGCATCCCCAGCACTCACATCCAGCTCCTGTCCCAGCGCTGGCAGCCCCGGCACTCACGTCCAGCTCCTGTCCCAGCGCCGGCAGCCCCCAGCACTCACGTCCAGCTCTTGATCGAGGGCGCGCAACTTGAGCCGCAGCCGGGTCTGCAGGTCCTCGGAGCGGCGCGTGTTCTCTCGGATCCCGAGCGCCGCCGCGTTCACGCTGCACTGGTAGCCGTGCGCGCGAGGCGGCTTCAGCGTGGCGCGCAGCCGCTGCTGCGGCGCCCGCGACGACTTCTTCAGCTCGATCAGCTGTAGCAGAGGCCGGGTCAGAGGCGACGGCGGCGGCCGCGGCGGCCCCAGCCGTACTGGCGATCTCAAGCGGTATCAAGCTGGGGAACACCACATTGTGTAAGTTGGTTTTTGTTTCTAAAGCATACACGCTGCTATGCGAACCAAAGCCGCACGCTATCCCAAATCATAGACCACTGTGATAATAACTCCTACAATGTTTCGATCTTGACCACTGCTGCGACTGAATGCACTTCACTTCACACATATTCCGGCTGAGCTGCCCATCCAGCTAACCTTTACAAATGGCGTGTGCCCGCCAGCGCGCACCTGAATGGCTTCGGTGCATCGGACACGTTCAGCTAAGTGAGCTAATCGAGCGTGTCATCTGAGGCCGCTCCGCTGGACGGTATGAATCGAGTCGCGCCAGGCAGCGCCGGGCGTCGGACGCTCTGCGGCAGCCAGGCCCCGCCGCCAGCTGCCCGGCTCGCTGCCGCCAGCTGCTCGGCTCGCCCAGAGGCTAGGACTCACTGTGCTATCGACACAGCTGCCGACACTGTGAACGGCCTACGCCGACGCAATCCCATCGCATCAGTGGAAAAGATTCTTCGCATTGGTCTAGTCGCCTTACTTCCGATGTTGATCATGTGTGTCATGTGCGAACCCTCGTAGTTTCCGCGGAGGCCTAATGCATAGGAGGGTCTACAATACTTCATGAACGTTTATGCACAAAAACACTGTGAAATTATCATGGACAAGGGCATAAATTACGGACAGACCACTAAGCTATCCCGATGTATGAAGCACCGCCGCGTACCCATGCCAATATGCCCTGGAATTAGGTCTTACCTTCGGTACGAAGACTAGACACAGCGTGCCTGTTGTGCAGAACAGGATGAAAATAGATATGATGATGAAGGAGGCGTCTTGGTCGTCCGACAAGACGAAGGAGATTGCTACGCCGATCACACACATGATGACCACGTTGTAGACGCTCATACCGATGTACTTGGAGTCGTTCAGAGCCGCTATGTTGACATGGCGCGTTTCCCACGCCAAGAAACACCCAAATATCTGCGAATGTTCAAATAGCGTTGGACAACACACGATTTCCTGCATGTACGCATGTCACCATGCGTCTACGAGTCATGACTGCAAAATTCTGACACTAAAAGTGATAAGCGTGGAAACTCAGGACCCGTGGCGAGCCCTCGTGGCTGCGCAGATCACTCCTGTTTCCCGCAGCGATTACATGTGAGAACATTTCCGACAAGACCGGCCCGGCCCGGCCGTGATGCCGTATCTCGCTCTGGCCGTGATGTCGACTCTCGCTCCGACCGTGATATCGACTATCGCTCCTGCCGTGATGCGGACTCTGGCTCCGGCCGTGATGCCGACTATGGCTCCGGCCGTGATGCCGACTCTTGCTCCGGCCGTAATGCCGTATCTCGCTCCGGCCGTGATGCCGACTCTCGCTCCGGCCGTGATGCCGACTCTCGCTCCGGCCGTTATGCCAACTCTCGCTCCGGCCGTGATGCCGACTCTCGCTCCGGCCGCGATGCCGACTCTCGCTCCGGCCGCGATGCCGACTCTCGTTCCGGCCGTGATGCCGTACCTCGCTCCGGCCGCGATGCCGACTCTCGCTCCGGCCGCGATTCCGACTCTCGCTCCGGCCGTGATGCCGTACCTCGCTCCGGCCGCGATGCCGACTCTCGCTCCGGCCGCGATTCCGACTCTCGCTCCGGCCGTGATGCCGTATCTCGCACCTGCCGTGATGCCGACTCTCGCTCCGGCCGTGATGCCGACTCTCGCTCCGGCCGTGATGCCGACTCTCGCTCCGGCCGTGATGCCGACTCTCGTTCTGGCCGTGATGCCGTATCTCGCTCCTGCCGTGATGCCGACTCTCGCTCCGGCTGCGTCAGGCCCATCACGTGACGTGGCCGCGCCCGTGACGTGATGTAGCCGGCACGTCGGCTAATTGGCGGCCAGAGGCCTGAGCGCTGGTAATTACGGCACTGTGCGGCAGCCAATATCTCCCGGTCACCTGCCTACAGCAACAGCGCCCTATTTGCCCAGGTTTAGCCGCCTAAGCTCCCTCGGAGCCCCAATCACCATGGCGTACCTCAGTTGCCGTGCTGCGGCGACCTGGGCCGTCACGGTGGCCCATACTTGGGAGAAAGGCGAGCGCGCCGAGGCGGACGTGATCGCTACCGTATGAGAAGGAAACGGAACCCGGGGGGACGGGGGGGGGGGGGGTAAGGAGGACCGCCTTTCTCTCTTAACGAGAAAAAATGGCGCCAGCCTTGTGTGCGGCCTGGAAAGGAAAACGGTGAAAATTGCGTTGCCTGTCAGGGCTGCAGAAGTTTTCTGCAAACGCTTTCCGAGATTTTGTAGGGTATGAACAGCCACCCGCGCACGGCATTTACGAAACGATGCATCTCATGTTTATAGCGGTGTGGATTGGAGTAACCGTGACCAGCATTATCTCTGAACACGTAACCATCGAGTTCAACGTCACAACAGCGAGCTATCGACTGCTCTTTGCGGGAGACGGCACGCAGGTACACTGACCGACGCAGCGTTCAACCGACAAACATAAAAGGTACCCGCATGTAACTGGAATGCGCTCCAGACGTGACCTCGGCAAGGAGCACCTCACGCGCAATTTCGCCATGGCTTACAAATCGTTGCGTTTAATTTGGTTCATGCGACTTTGGAGATTCCCTTGCAGCCAAAAGCACTGACCCATCAGGGGATTAAACTCATCCAGATGCGTGCGACTTGCAGATGCGCTGTGACTCTCAGCTGATAGACACGGTGAGAATTTGGCGCAGCCGGCGGAGAGCCGGCAAACAACCACCAATGAGCGCTACCCACCGAGAAGCGCCAACAAATCACTGGCTTGAGATGCATGCACCTTTGAATGATTTTTGACGCCGTAGCTCAGAGTTGCAACACCGCACGCATCTGCCGTCAGCGCCCCGGCCCTGCAGCGTGACGTCAAAACAAGACGTCAAGACGTGACGTCACCAAACGGTCGCGTGCTTGGATCTGCTCACTCTGGAAGCTGTGAAGGCATCAGGACGCGTTTTTCAGCCAACTCAAGCGGCGCTTGAGCGTCCGGCGGCCGGCAGCTTGCAAATGAGCGCGTTTGCATACGTTTCCTTTTGCTGCGAGCGATCAATGCGACGACTGCCTATGGGGAGAACATCAACAGCCTGATTGGGCAAAATCTGCCGAAGGTGCTGAGCCGGGCGGTCGAACTGAGCCCGCGGCGCCTTCACGTCGCCTGCAGGCGGTGTTTTACACCGCGGAGTTGCCGACCCAAACAAGGCCCATCGCCGACTGCGGGGCGCGGCGGTCGGCGACAGCGCCGGTAAATAACACGACGGCGCCGCGGCGTCACGGTAAACACGCCGGCTGGTGTCGGCCAACACTCGATCCGCGCGACGGCCGTCAATAGGCCGTGGAGCGCGCCGCGCTACAGCTCCGTACAGCTCGTGTCGACGCGTGTTGGCGGCGCGCAGGGACGCTGCCGCAGCGCGACGCCGTCGGGGTGGACTGGCTGGAGGCACCTCTCCACGCCTCGCACCGGCACGCGGCGGACACTGGCAGTAACGCCGGCACAGTTTTTTTTTAGAGGCGTTTTTAGTCCGGTCTTGGCTGCATAAAGAGTGGGCTGGTCTTCTGCCGTGAGCCGGCACAGATGCCCGTCGAACGTTATCAAGTACCAGCAACGCAGTTAGCAGCGTGTGTTCCACATTGGTATGGTGGTTTCGAATATGTTAAAATAATAGTAATAATGTGGTGCAAAATAATGACATGGTGAAATAGCCATCTCAAAAATCCTTCGGTGCAGTTCACAGCCCTGCCTTTCTTAAGACGTAAACCCCTCTAGTTTCTGAGCTAAATGCCCGCGAAAATGTATAAAATTCTTTGAAGGAATACCTCAAGGTCACCAAAGCATCTATGATCCTATAATAACGTTACCCAAATTTTGTCATTCCTTCAGCCCTGCGGTGATCAAGGCCAAGCAAAAAATAATTGTCGAGCTATTCATATCTGACGCTTGTGAGCACGATTTCCGGATAAAACTAACGGCCGTCGATCGGCTCTCAATCATTGTCGTGCAAGGTGTGATAACGCACTCAAGCAATGAGGTATTGAGTAGCATATTTCATAAACATATAATTTTCGCTATCTAAAGCAGTCTTTTTCACTTAAAGGCACACAAATAGACATAAGTGAGCCTATTTCATCCGTCTCATGTTTGCTCCTCCATTATCTTCAAATGTGTATTCCCGTTAAAGGGAATACTCCACATTTGAAGATATGAAGCAGCATCAGATAAGATGATACAATCTCACTTATAACCATTGGTATACTTTTAAGTGAAAGAGTGCTCTACACAACCTAATTTCTCTGTTTGGTTAATGTGCTTCTCAATACGTCATCGCTTAATACGTCAATACATCAATACGTCAACGCGTACGACGACCTTGTAGCGTAACGTCCTCACACCTTGCACAAGTACCAGAGGTCGTCACTATTACATCGCTCGGCCTGTCTCTGTATGCACTACTGGCTCTCAACTAGAGCTGCCATTTTTGTTTATACTTGGACACCCGCACCCACCCCGCGCCCAGATCTGAGAACCCGCCCCGTCGCGCAAAGCAAATTTTCCCGACAAATCCTGCATGGACCCGCGTAGCTTATTTTCCGGTTCAGGTACAGCTTCTCAACCGAATGATCTCATTAATTCCAAAACAAAAAGCGGTAAGATTTAAGGTTTAAGTCGTGTTTGTCACCGCTAACATCGAGAGACCTTTCCATTCCAGGTACACATACTTAACCTCATTATAATATAAGGGCCACTAAGGAAATATTTAAATATACAAACATCTATTCCCTCATCTGTTCTTTTATAAGCTAACGCCGAGTGAAACAAATACATTTTATCCATTGTAAAATCGAGAAACATGGCTCACTTTGAAAACACTTCTGATGAACCAACGCATGAAATCCCATTGGTCCCAAAAATAGAGTTCTCTTTGTCCGAGACAAAATACTCCCGGACCCCCCAAAGGCCCTTCAAAATGAACCGACAGTCAAAACCTTGAAAAAGAAACCAAACAACTCCAACCAGTCTCAGTATGCATGCATCTCAGCCATGACTCGCTTTTCATTTAGCTGGGTTAATATGATCACTTAGTATATATATATATATATATATATATATATATATATATATATATATATATATATATATATATATGTAAATATACATTGGTTATGAAAACCCAAGCGGGAGGCTAAAAGATTTGCAGACTTATGAATCCCTCGCGTTGCAGACCTACGGGCTTAAAGGTGACAGCTCTTCTCTCGGCTGTCCCGATAGTTGGGGAGATCTGGGGGCGTGGAGGCAGCGTAGCGCCGAGACCATGGCAGCGTCCGCCAATACGATAAAACAATGTTTGTTACTTACAAAGATAACTCACAACTGTGCTGTCTCCAAATATGACACCCTATATTCAGTCGATATGTGCACTGCCATAAGGGAGTCTTCACGAATCACATTAACGAGCGGTTTGGACCATATTTCTCCGGACTGCAAAAACAACACTTTGCTCTTTTCCAGCGTCTTGTACATACCTCATGCCAATTTACAGCTCACTTGGAGGGGCTCAAGACAAACAATCGGCGGAAAGGGGAGGGGGCAGATTTACTAAGGACGTGTAAAACTGAACCCATACGTACTAGAAAACAGGTCAGACACAGGGAGCACCCAACGGCAGAGGGAAAATGCGATCAATCCGCTACAGAAACGTTCGATGACGTCCAGCTCTGCGTGGACGCGATAACACTCCATCCCCTAATGACACGGTAAGTACCGTGTCACTATTAACGTCCCACTCTATATGCAGCCGCTTCGAAACATCGGCAAACACGGCGACAACCGCGACGCCGCGCTAAACGGGTAGTCGTGCCCCCCCCCCCCCCCTCTCCGCGCGCCGGCGGCCACGCCGTCGGCCGCGCGCGGCCTCTCTCGTTGTACCTCGGCCACCATGCCGGTCACGGCGCCCTCTGCGGACTAGTAATTGCGTGGCGTCGCCTAATTACTGGCGGAGGAACCGGCCACGGACCCGCGACACATCGATTGGAACAACTAGTTACCCGCCGCCACCGGCCGCGATTTCCCCCGGGGAAAAACGACACGTTCGGAAGGGGCGCCGCGCGAGCTGCCGGCAGAAGCGGATGTGACCCAACAGAGGGTGTAATCCGACCCGTCTTGGGTTGGATGCGCCAAGGGGCAGGTAGAGTGCTCGTGGTGGCGCTTTTTCACCGACCTCAGGTGCTCAGGATGTGCGTGGGCTCGAAGCACTGCAGCAATTAGTTCTGTGCGGTGTCTATCGCGCCATTACGCGTGTTGTACGGTATTTAAACGGATCTTCTTGTCGTTTGGGGATGCTTAGAGCTTGACCGAAAATGTTATGCTCATATACAAACCAAAACAACCCTGAAATTGGGGGCACAAGTGCTCTGGATTAAACTGCTGCGTTGCGCAGTGAACACCAGTGAATAAGTACGCCATCACATTTCCAGGTTTTACCTTCCTACATTGCACAGAGCAGGTGAAATTCCAAGGCCTGACATTAAATGCGTGCCGCCATCGGCCCATTGTATGCTCCATTGCCGGGCACATTCTGGGCGGTGCGGAAGCCCGACGGCGCCCGCACTTTTCTCACTGAAAAATTAATATCTCCCGAGTCAGGGCGCGGCGCGGCCGACAAAGGGGACTGCAATTTTAATTACATGCATCGCTGCCCACCCTTACATAAGAACCGGTATACGACAGGGCGTGACGGGCGTGACAGTGTGGGGGAGGGAGGGGGAAGAGAGAGTTGGAGAACAATGCGGTACGCTACCCACAGCATGGCTCGGCTTTACAGCTGGCACAGTAAGCCAGCCGCTCATGGCGACCGTCTGCAATGGCCCTGTCAGCAGATTCGAAGTACTTATATACGGCTGGTAGATAACACAATGAACGCATATCCTTGCAACGGTCAGCAGTGCCCTGTCCCATCCTGATGGTTCGGGTCTGAGCCAGAGTCCTTAGCTCGTACCCTGCAACTAACGCGATTCCGGGTCTGGACCGAATACCACGGCTCTTAGCCTTGGTCAGTCGAAACCAATTTCTCTGCAAAGCACATGAGTCTGGGCATGAGCAAACATGCGAGAATGAGTTTCAGTCAAAATTCAAACCTCGCAGAGTTCAATCTGAGCCTTGTTCCGCGCTCAGTTCCTCAAGGAATCGAACAGGACGTAACGTGTAACATCAGATTGTCAGGTGCAGACGAATCATTTAATCGTTCCATCTTCTAGAACATTACTCTAATCAGTAAAATGCGTTTTGTGACGTAGGCTGAGCGGGGTGATTACAGACGTGATTGCCAGGTGATTGTAGACGTGAATGCGACGGGATTATGTAGGTGATTGGTACTGTCCATATAGTATCAAAATATGAGCGAATGGAACCAGTCACCTCTGCGACCACGGGGCTTAAAATGCAGAGAAATGTCCGCCTTTTAAGAGCTTTTAGGGACGGCGCGCACCGATGCGCACCTGGGCACCTGCCCGCACATTCACGAGAAATATGATCTAAAAATTGGCCGACTTTAATTGCTCTATGGCCTGGTAATTTAAATCGACTAGGCCAATGAATTTACAGCGATTAACAGCAGCCTTGGCGCTCGTAAGCATACCGCTATTTAATATGAAAAAAAATACTGGGTTGACGTTGGTCACAATGACCAGAACTACATGCTTATATCATTGTTCAGTCAGTCAGTGGTCACAGTAGCCGAAACACTGCTAATAATAATCACCATCATCGTCTCATCTGCATCGTTTTGATGAAACAATCAGCGTCGATCGTTTTAAGCCACGGCGTCCCAGATTCCAACTCCGTTTTGGAAAAAGTGGGGCTGTCCGCTTCCTGATCGACTGGCGGATACGTCCGGGCCAGCCAGCTTTGAGAGCTGTCGATGAGTTCAGGCCGGTACCTTCAACTGCACTGTGCATTCTGTTTCATGGTTTCATTTGCCCTGGTAACTGATATGTAACATTGGTTGCTAAAAACGTCCCAGAACGGTCTGACCCATGGTTCGTGCTAGTATCATTCGTACAACTATGCAGACATCAATCACACCTTTGCCAATGCGATTTTCAGCGTTGCTTAGCATGGGTCTTAACGTAACCCTTAAGGAACGTTTTCGACTGTGGCGATCTTATAGGAGACCACGGGTCATAACGCCAACCGGAAATCGAACCGAGCTATCCCGGTTGGAAGCCGACCACACTTCTGATTGGGGTATAAGTCTCCCTCCAATGAGACCGCCCGTTTGTTCTTCGGTCAGTACGGGGTCCCGCTCCGACCCAGTGTTATTCACACTTTTTTCTGCAATTTGGGAACTTGATAGTTCCAATGTTGTCTGTACAGGAAAGTGCAATACCACTGGTATTGCCACTGCAGAAATGCATCGCACGATCAAGCAGCTGACATTTTAATGTCTCGAGAGCATGCGAAAGCCTCCCGCCGCTCCCATATCTGGTCTGCGGAATGACCTATCAAACTTTTCAAGCACGGTGTTCCTTGGTACTAAACGCTTCCCGGCGGCACCATCGGCGGTCGCAGACATCAGCCCGCCAGGGCCGTAACTGGCCGGCTGGGCCGTGGCGTTGAAGCCACGACATTTTCGCTCGCTCGCTTGTCATTAAGGCGGCTTCGCTCGTAATTAATTGCCGCTTATGAACGCACACTAGTTTGACCTGACATTACCTGATGTCTTGCCGAGCTTTTACTTTTATCGTGTGAGCTGCTGACATTTTCCGTCGCTCACAGGAACCCCTTTCAGCTGAAGCGTTTTTTACACGCACAACCCATTGGTTTACTGAATCAGAATCAAAGTTACTCCAATTTGCGTCTGACCAATTTTGCGCAAAACCTTGTACGAACAATTTGCGATTTGTTTATAAGACAAAGTGAGTGATCTAGAGGTGCCAAAGACATTCCCTTAGCTCGGATGTTTGTATTTGTCCTCTTGTTTTGTGGATTGTCTTCACTTGCTCTTATGAGTCCTAGCATGACTCCTGGTGTAATATTTATAAAGGTCAACTTTGTTCAAAGCCCGAAAATGAATGCGCTGGACCGTTTTTCAACCTGATCGGTCAAACTCAGAGTCCAAGAGCTATTTGATCAGGATGAATCCTAGTAGGATTAGCCATCGACCCGAAGCCGACCCAAACATGAGAGCCACATTAACATAAGCTTTTAAAACCAATACTAGGACGAAGGGCAAAAACTTAGCCCACGCTTCCCTGACAGTTCTCTTAGTAAAGCCCAATCAAGCATTCGTACACCACCTGCCTCATATGACACTCACCATGAGCAAACCCTTGTAAGCGTAAATGCAGCCCACAAAGACCGTCATCTTGTTGGACTTGCAGTACTCATTCTCTGGGATGACGACAGCGTCATCATTCTGCGGGTGGGGCTGAAAGGAAAGAAACACTGTCAGCTTCACTCGGCCAACGTCAGCGCACGCGGGGATCGGTGGGGGAAGGCGGCCCGTCGCCGATTTCGGCGCAGCGTCGGCTTGACGGGCGTCACACCGGGCTGTCCTCTGCGCGTCTCTCACCGCCGCAGACACAAACAGCTCTCTTTCTCGCCCGAGCCGGGACGCCCACTCGCCCGCAGAAAAACAGCCAAGGGGGGCTTGGCACAGAAACTGACCGGCCGGTACGTCGCCCGAGGCGCCGTGGAGCTCCGGGCGCCGTCTGACCTCTGACCCGAGCTATGCCGTGCGCCTGTTGCTAGGCGACGGCGGGTATCCCGCGCACCCCCACCCGACCCCGGCAGCCGTTTCGTCGGAGCACGTCGCACGCCCTGAGGGCATTTGCGCGGCCGTTCACGTGTCATTTGATGCGGTTTGATAGGGCGGCGCGAGAGCTCTTTGTTTCGGCGAGAGCAGCGCCGGCGGCGGCGGACACTCCGCGCTCGTCGAGCAGCACGCTTGAATAAAACCGGGCCCGTTCCGAGATCCCAGCTTTCAGAGGCATCGATGAAAGACTTTCGCTTCTTGTCTGCCAACGCGCGCTGAATGTTTCTCCCACGCGAAGCCATTCGGGATCGCAACGAGGCGACATCGCCGAGCACCTCGCGTCCGACACACGACTGCGTGAGCAATAAAGAAGCGCTAGCGCACATGAGCACCGGACGCACCTTGAAAACACGACTGATGTTGAGCGTAGTGACCATCACGCTCCCAGCTTTTTGCGTACTTACATACTGCTCCAGTTGCTTGGTTTCCCGATAGAACGGGTCCAAGATCTGCCACGTCGTCATGATGGCAATGTCGATGGAGAGAAGTACGCCGACCACGATGTACAGCTGATAGTCCTTGATCACCTACGCCGAAGGGGGAGAGAGACACTCAGGCGGCATAAAGTTTTCGGACTGATTCATGACACGGGCCCGGCCCGATCCAATTTATGACGCGGGGCCGGCCCGGTTCAATTCACGACGCGAGGCCGGCCCGGTCCAATTTAGGATGCGAGGCCGGGCCGGTCCAATTCATGACGCGTGGCCGGCCCAGTTCAGTTCATGACGCGAGCTCGGTCCGGTTCATGACGCGAGGCCGGCCCGGTATAATTCATGACGCGGGGCCGGTCCGGTCTAATTCACGACACGAGCTCAGTCCGGTTCAATTCATGACACGAACCGGGCCCGGTCCAATTCATGACGCAAGGCCGGCCCGGTTCAGTTCATGACGTGAGCTCGGTCCGGTTCATGACGCGAGGCCGGCCCGGTCTAATTCATGGCGCAAGGCCGGTCCGGTCCAATTCATGACACGAACTCGGTCCGGTTCAATTCATGACACGAGCTCGGCCTGGTCCAATTCATGACACGAACCTGGCCCGGTCCAATTCATGACGCGAGGCCGGCCCGGTTCAATTCATGACGCGAGCTCGGTCCGGTTCATGACGCGAGGCCGGCACGGTCTAATTCATGACGCGAGGCCGGTCCGGCCCAATTCATGACACGAACCGGGCCCGGTCCGGTTCTAATTATGCGACGCGAGGCTGCGGGGCGCATAAAGTTGACGCTGTCCCGAGGCGCGACAGAGTATGGCCTTTCAGCACAGCTATTTCGGAACTGGCAGAAGCGATTTATAGCGGGATGGCCCGGGCCAGGCCGTTTAGCACAGCGACGGGAAATACCAGATGACGAACGGTGATCGCACGCATCCTGTTGAAGCGGCACTGTCTGACCGGCCGCCGCCCGAATGACCTATCACGACTCGGTGACGGAGCCATCCGCCCGAACCATCACGCCATGATAGCCAATCAGAGGCCCCCGCGGCAGCAGGAGCTGGTGACCAGAACAAGCCTCCCGGCGGTAGGGGCTGGTGACCAGAACGAGCCTCCCGGCGGTAGGGGCTGGTGACCAGAACGAGCCTCCGCGGCAGCAGGGGCTGGTGACCAGAACGAGCCTCCCTATGTGGGAGGAGGGAGGGGGCGGGGGTGACTAAAGTAGGCGTAGGTGGCAGAGGATAGTGACCAGCGCGGTTCTGACGCCGCACTTCGAGAACGAATATGTCGCTGCCATGGGCGGGTACGTCTGTGTAACGCACGGCGGCCGTGAAGTAAACGAGACACCAGCAATTTGCCACGGGTGCACATCCACGTCATCACATTTTGCTTACGTTTTTTCACCTTCGTTCAGCATGACGTACCTTTTTGTTGAGCTTGACGTCGGTGAAGATGGAGTGCACGCGCCACGTCTTGGAGAACATGGAGCCGAACGCCAGCGTGAAGCCGGCCATCAGGACCCAGGTCTTGGCCGCGCACAGCACCGGGAAGGCTTCCTCCGAGGTCAGGCTCGAGTCCAGACCGAGCAGGATCACCGACGTGTACGTCAGGATGCAGCCGATGATGATCAGGTTGTTGAGGTAGGGCGACGACATCTTGATGTACCTGCAATACAGGCAGGAGCAGTGTCAGTCAGTAGTTGTGACGCAGCCAGGGCAATGACGACGGTGTTGTTTGATTGGCTGTTGTGCAGCGCGAACGATGTGGCTGCTATCAGGAGGGCAATCATGACGGACCAATTGGTGAAAGCACTACCGCCTTGGGAACTGCGTACTAGTTGACAATGTGGCTTAAAGGGTATGTTCCATATTTAAAGATACTGAGGCTTTCAGATATGATGCGTCAAATATGATGAGATAAGCTCACTTAAAACCATTCATATTCTTCTAAGTGGAAATGACTGCTCTAGAAAACATTATTTCTCTGTTTAGTACAGACGTTCCTCAACACGTCATTACTTGATAACGTCATCGCACTTGGCGCAACATTAATAATGAGAGGCCAGCTGACAGCCGTTATATCTGGAAATCGTACTCGCAAACGACAAATATGAACGACTCGACAATTGTTCGTTTTTTGTCTTCATCACCGCATGACTACTGGAATGACAGCTTTTGAATGCCATTATTATGGCGTCGTAGATGCCTGAGTGGCCTTAAAAAAAATTCTCCGAAATATTCTGCACGTCTTTGAGGGCGTGTAGCTCAGAACCTAGAGCGGTTTGAGTCTTAAGAAGAGCAAGACTGTAAACCGCACCGAGTGATCTTCAGTAGGGCTTTTTCAGTGCAAAAGCCGATACGCTCCCTTGAAGTCAATAACGCAAAGACGTGGTATCGATTGCTACGCTCCTGCTATTGTGTACCACTGGAGCTGGTTTCGGGCGGAGGGACATTTCACTCGGCACTGGCCGGGCTCCTCAGCGGCACACCGCTGACCAGAGGAGGGGGGGAGGGGCAGATCTGACCCTGTGCTTATCTCAGTAACGGCCGGGCTGAATTAAAAAAATGAAAAAGTGATCGATAGCGCTGTGGCGTACACTCTCAGACCACACAGCAAACTTAAGTTGAAATTGTGATCAAGGTCACAGGTCAACGTCATGTTCTTAAAATGCTACTTTGGAATCTCTGACCGCTCCCACAACGCACATCATTCAAAGCGCATTTCATATTTGAACAATCTCAGCAGATTTGACCGATCTAATTTTCTAGTTATGTTTTCACATATCTTGAATTTTACATTGTATGTCATGTCATCTAAACGCGAAGTGGGAAAGCTTATCCGCCATTATGAAAATCAGACACGTGAGCAAGAGCTGTTGCTTTTCAATGAATCGTCTTTAAGCAGATATGACCCCTGTATACGCAGATGTGTACATATAATTACACGCTTCGCCCCAACCACACAAAATGTACCAAACTAAAGTCAACTACCTGCGACACATCTTAAATGACACATCAAGTGCCACGCACTGACGGCCAGGCGGAGTCGCTTGCACAGGGCGCATACATGTGGACACTGATACCGTGTCGCTCACCGACATACTTGACACACGGGCAGCATGCCTTCCTTTTTGGCAGCCAACATCGGCAGCTTGACACTTTTTATCAATACGTTTGCTATCTTAGGTCTAAATATTTTAGTGTGCAATATTGAACCTGCACAACAATAGGACATATGAGTCATGAAATAGGTGGCTCACATTTCTCCTTGATATATATATATATAATATATATATATATATATATATATATATATATATATATATATATATATATATATCAAATATGTTCTTTCGTTCGGCCTCTGTGTCAATTTGTGTACGGCTATGCCTTTTATGAAAAAGAGGTGAAAATGACGTTACTCTGTCGTCACTCACGCTTCGCCAAATATGATCTCATTTTTGTTATTTTGGCACAAGGCGTAAAGCTCATCAAATGACAACTACTAACAATTTGGCACAACGTCTTAATGCATGTTTGAAATATCACGAATATTGGCCAGAGGGGGGAAATTTGACCCTCCCCCGGTGACTGCCGGGTTAACGAACAGTTTAAGAAAGGAAACGGTGGTAAATGCAACTTTTGGCACAACGGACGTCTGCGACGTCGACCTGGTAAGTGCGCATGACCTCATCTGGAGCATACGCCCGCTCCACACACACCCCGCTTCAGTTCGCACTACATTTGCCATGCTTTAAAGTCTGTTAGCCCTCGACGCAACAGGACTGCCGGTCGAGTGGCAAATTACCTCTGCCTGTATGCCGGGCGAAACCATACGTGAAAGCTGGCATACGCCATTAAATGCGCCGCCGTGTTAGAGTAGTGACACCGTGCGTGCCATGATTGGTCCTAGCCGATGCCCTGGATTCGATCGCGACCAAGATGGTGCGTACGAAGTAGAGGTGACGATTGGATTCCAGATTTTTGGAAGGTCAGAAACGTTCAAAGTCCCATTAGGGATTGGATGGGCAAAGGGAAGAATCTTTGGAGTTTTTCGACAGCCAGCGCCATTTTGCCGGGTCGCAAGTTGGTATGCATCTCATCCTATTTAAAACTGGTCTTTAAAAAAAGAATGGATTCTGGGAACGCCAATAAGTCGATGATAGAGCACACAAGAAAATGATACATTTTGAAACAAGAGATGCGACGTTTCTACGATGAAGACCATCAATACGAAAAGAATCAACATTACGTCTTCAGTAGAGCCTGGGATACCCACCACTTACTTACCTAGCTACAATTAGTTTCCATTCCCACTCACCATCCGACTAAGCTGTCATCATCGAGCTAAGCGATGGGCAAGTTTAGCGGACATCGGCGTAAATTATGAATTGTGACTGTTTTACGAAAGCATGCGGTACACGCTACTTACCTGCGATAATTTTCTTTCTTTTCATTCAATTCGAGTAAGGGGATGCTGCAACACGAGCGGTGGATGGGGTTATTACTTGTAGGTAGGAGCTATTCCATATCTTTAAATTTCTCCAAAATTTTGGGACAAACTGAATTTTTGGACACTTCTAGGACGGAGAGCTGGTCTGTCCTTGGACTTCAGACTCGACTTTGGACAAAAACTTCCAGAAAACGGCACGTCTAGTATGAAGCGCTGTATCTTGTTCAACCGCGAGTTCATTGTGAGTATGCCCCGAGCGCACGTCTGAGGACGGATAAGACGAGACGAGGCTCATCCGATGTCTCGAATCTGAGGACAGATAAGACGAGACGAGTCTCATAGAGTGTGTCGAATCTGAGGACGGCTGAGACGAGACGAGGCTCATCCAATGTGTCGTAACTGAGGACGGATAAGACGGGACGAGGCTCATCCAATGTCTCACATCTGGGGACCGATGAGACGAATGCTCATCCAATATCTCACGAGTGGAAAACAGTTCCCTTGGCTTATAAAAAGAAGCCTACGTAAATTATCTATACTAGCCTCTCGCGTCGCCTGTCGAGCAGCCCGTCCGGCCACACCGAGCTCTCGCCGGTTCGGCGCCGTCAGCGCGACCGCCCAGATCGTGACTTCAGGCCCCACGGCTCGCCGGCCCGACTCGCTGGCAGCCGGCGACTCGATCCAGTCACCGTCGCGCGCTGCCGGAGCGCGGCGGGCGGCGCGCGGCCGCGGCGCCCATCGTCGCGTCCGAGCAATGGGCCGCGACCGTCACGGCCATTGGCCGCGGCGCCCGCTGCGTGTTCGCCAGCACCGCGTGGCCGCCGCCGGACGGCAGCCTGCCAGTGGGCGGCGGCGCCCGGCTGACGTCACGGTCCCACTGCGGAGACTTGCGGGTAAACGGGTTCAGTAGCGACGCGCAGATGGTAAACAGAGGCGGAGGTGTTTGCCTCGGAGAGGACTGAAGATCAATCGCCCAGCATAACTTAGCCTCGCAGAAGAATCGACAGTTCCACGCAAAGATAAACGGCTCCGCGATAAACGGACAGTAAAATATCATAATTTCGGGGAACGTATTACTCGCTTAATGGAGCGTGCAAGATGCAGAGCCGCCTGGAGTTTAAGTGAAAAATGTCTCGCTGAAAATCACGGGCATTCCGCCAAAATGGTGAGGTTGGTTAAATGGCAGAAGCCCAGAAGCCCAGAAATCCACTACCAGGCATCCTTGCTGCCGGCTGTGGCCCAAATGCAACGTTGTTCCAGTTACAAAGGTGCATATCTAGGGCAAAACTGTCTTTGTCTCTGCAAATGCGTACCTATAAATGACGCTTCTTGGAGAGGCTAGCGGTCTTTTTTCCGAGTCGATAAAACATCGACGGAGGCCACTGAACAATGAACAAAGCATGAATTAGCAACACAATACATGCATTGTACGTGCGAGCGTGTGTGTGTGTGCGTGCGCAGATGCGTGTGTGCGTGCATGCAGGTGTGATTGCGTGCATGCATGCGTGTGTGCGTGCGTGCGTGCGTGCGTACGTGCGCGCGCGCGCGTGTGTGTCGGTGGAGATGACAGCATATTGGCCGTTTGACTCTTCCTTGCCAAAGTGCTCCAGGCTCCGGTTAATTGGCCACCATCATTCAAAGAGCTATGTGCGATTGCACCTATATCGCTATCTCCTAACGCTTCGTCAAATCCATTAACGCCATGAAACATACAAAATAGGCACAATACACAGAACCATATACTAAACAGGTTGTCGGGTCGGTAGCGAATTCGTATCCACAATCAAGCAGGTCAATACACACCGCGCAATCCAAATTTTTCCTAGTAGGCATTGAAGCATGCTTCATGTATACCAGAATCGGAGGTTAAGACCAGACTAGGGAAGCTATACCAAAGGTTGGCAGTGCTGATATAACGGCATCTTTGGTGAGGCTGCGGCGATATAGGGGTGTTCCACATTTGAAAGGGAAACATGATATATTGGAACACCATGTATGACGACATAAGCCGACTTGTAACTGTTAGTTTACCTCAAGAGTTAAAGACCGCTCTATGCAAAAACAATTTCACTATTAAGTAAATATGTCCCCAATAAATCATCGCTTAGTTACGTTATGAAACGTTCTTATGACGTCAGAGTGGCTGCAAGACTGGCCGTCATAATTGCCACTGTAGCAGATGGGCTGACTCACTTCTATTACTCAAAGAGAATATTTCGCAGGAGAAGATACTGAAGCAAGCATGAGATATGACGAAACAAGCTCACTTATAACCATTGGTACACTTTCAAGTGGAATAGAGTCCTCTAGACAGCACAGTTCTCTGTTTAGTAACTATATTCCTCAATGTTCATGGTTTGATTACGTAATCGTTCCTTGCATAACATTGATTCAGAGCCAATTGATGGCCGTTAGATCTGGAAATCGCACTCATAAACGCCAACTATGAACACCTCGACAATTTTCTATTTGTCCTTGATCGCCGCATGGCTTATGGAATGTCAGGATTTGAATGACCTTATCTTGGCGTCATGAATGCCAAGGTGACGTTAAAATACCCTCTCCGATATACCTTTCCCTATTTCGCCGGCGTGTTGTTCAGTGACTGGAGAGGGTTAGCCCTTTAAAAAGGCAGAATTAAAAACAGCACCAAAAAGTCTTCAAGGCAGCTATTTCACTTCAAAACCCCAAATAAATGTGGAACACCCCCTCTAAGCTTACCGAGATGTGTGGTGTTTGCTGATGCGCGTTTGCTGAACCCGAATAGCGTTGTGCTCATGTTTTGGCTCTTCCTATGGTGTTCTTGTATATTTCGTTGTGGTTTTGTATTGTTCGCTTACTTTTACATATTCGGTGAAAGCGCATTTCTTATGCTATTGAATTTGTGTTGTGGGTGTCAGGCTTGAAGCAAGAAGGTTTTAAGTTTTAGAAATGTCATGACTGCTGACTGCACTGAATGATCTTCAAAATGTTAACTATGTTAATCAAAGTATAAAATGTTGCACGCTGTAAATATACAAGTATCGTGCTACTCGTGCACACCTCCGTTAGTAAAAGATTGGGAATCGTGTTTCGTTCACCTGCATCAAGGTCAGACCGATATATCCTTGGTCTGTGCCCATTTACGTTATGACTCAGTTTACACGTTATCACTCATATCATGACTCATTTACGACACAGTGAGTCAGTTATGAATAGTATGCCATAGATTATGCAGAGCTGCCGGCTGGTGTGTGCTGCATGATAAGTGGCTGGGCGATACTCACCGTACTCAAGTGTATCCCTGCTGAGGCTGACAATTGGGTTGTTTTAGGATGATAAAAGTAGGAAAACTGTGGTGTACGCATTGAGGTACGGGGGTGGCGGTCAAAAAAACATTGGGAGAGCTCAGGTCCGCACTGAATGCTCAGCCCCCCCCCCCTCCGAAAGTATACAAAGCGACATTCCTACGCATGTCCCTCACAACATGCATGGACAAGACCCTCGCGTTCACGGTTTTAATCAATACCAAACGGTGCCTACAAAAGTTTTTTCGGGCTTAGAAGTTCAAACCACATCCTACATGTGATCCAGGGTTTGGCTTAAATGTGACCCAGTGTCAGTTGAGGCTATCATTTTGGGAGGCAAAACTCCCAAATCCGCACTGGTCACGACACCCTGCGTCCAGCCGACCTTGGCAGAAGCCCAGTGGAAATCTCCCTCTCGGACCCTCCGCTTCGCACGCTGCCCGGGCCGGCTCACGTCGATCCTCTGTTTTCCAGCAGCTCCTAAGGGACCGTCCCGTCTGGCCGACACAAGCGCGACACGAGCTCCCGCTAATTAACGACCGAGTCCCATTTGGCCGCCAGCGCGCCAGAACTGCCGAACTTGCGCCCTAGGCGTGTCCGCCGCAAAGGTCAACGCGCGCCACATACGCCCGTCGCTGAACATAACCGCCCGGCGATCCAAGGTGAAATGGTGCGGTGGTGTTTGTCGTGTCGATTTCGTGGCTCCAGCGCGCCTTCATAGTGATGGACTCCCTATGCGTTGTCGGCGTAAAATGCTGACGGCTGCGATAACACCTCAAGACATTATTAGTGTGGCATAATACGACTACTCTGCAAGCCTGCTTTAAAGTAGAGGTGCGTGCAGCCAGCTCCCATTAACCACCACTACCTCACGACCTATGTGACTACAGTTTAACTTCTCGCACCGTTAGATCACGAGCTATGCGATCTCTGTCGGACTTCGCACGCCGCCAGCTCACGAGCTGTGCGATCTCTGTTTGACTTCGCACGCCGCAAGCTCACGAGCTGTGCGATCTCTGTTTGACTTCGCACGCCGCCAGCTCACGAGCTATGCGATCTCTGTCTGACTTCGCACGCCGCCAGCTCACGAGCTATGCGATCTCTGTCTGACTTCGCACGCCGCCAGCTCACGAGCTGTACGATCTCTGTCTGACTTCGCATGCCGCCAGCTCACGAGCTGTGCGATGACTTCTAACATCGCTCTGCGACATACTCTCGAGGTAAATTATGGGCGCGGCTTGAAGGAATTGGGCATACCGATACATCATTGCTTGTTGTTTGATATGCAGAAGATTGCGGTGTTCTCTCTCAATTCGATCCGTGTCATTCCGTACGCGGAGAGCTGAGTCTTCACCTTGCAGTAATGCTGCAAAGTGTACACCTTAACACGGGCAGACCATGGCGGCACAAAGCGGCGCTTTTATTGTTGTAGGGGCTTAGTCCATGCCGCTGCTAGTGAAGTCTGATTGGAAACGTGAAACATTTTATCTTTGTTTTTTTTAGGGTTGGGTTTGTAACCTTCCTCAGGAAATCAGATTTTTTCGCTCGCTTTAGGAAAAGTCAGAAACTTGTGCGGCAGATCAGTTCCATTTACGTAGCCTCGGCGCCTCCTGCTTACTCAGCACAAAACATACCAGTCCCCACCCATTCTTCATCACACCATGCTCTCCCCTCCCGACGCCCCGCCTGACGTCGCCTGCACCTGACACGACTGACCTTTGGTTCCTGAACCTGACGTTGATGCTGAGGAAGATGACGGCCATGACGATGCCGACTGACGCCGCTACCACCAGCGCTGCGTAGATCTGTACGTTGACGCGCGCCTTCTCGATGATGGTGATGGTCTGGTCGACAGGCGCGTGGCCCGAAGGCCACCAGATGGGCTCGATCCGGCTGTCGTCCTCCGGCGTCAGCTGGCGCAGATGGATCAGGTCGTGCACGCCGATGACGGCCGTGGCGTTGTCTGCCGAGGAAGGCGCGTCAACAGCCCGTTCAATGCCGCTGAATAGAGAAGAACACCACGGAGGAGGGGGGGGGGGGGGGGGGGGGTACGTTAAGGCCGTTGGTATCTCGTACCGCTGGGAAGAAGAGTGGTAGGAGCCGTATGGGTGGTTCGCTGGCTGCATTTTGATCCGTAATGCCGAGTTGGGAAGTTTTTTGTGCATTACTGTTTGCACATTGAGATGCCGACGATGCTTTCCTGAGACGCAAATGTTTCCTAGTCTCAGGCCATGAAAAGATGGTTAAACGTGCGATCTATTTTTTGTGTTTTTCAATGTCTTTAAGCAGTAAAAATGATAGATAAAAATCACTAGTTCATGACAAAGCTGAAGATAGTTCTGCCGTTGCTGCGCTGCTTCAGAACTATGTGAACTATGTGTGCTGGTTGTCTGAGCTAAACAAACGAGTCGAGATAAGTAACCATTTCATGTGAAGTTATTGGCTATTTACGTTTCTTGCACTGATTATTTCTAACCTTCAGAACCTTCAAAAGTGCATCGACACCTATCAGGGGTGTCGGAGTAATTCACAGGTTAGGAGGGAATCCCCGCCTGGCATTACTGCAGCGCAATGTTCGTGGTGGTGATCGAAAAGTTCTTCATTCATTATGTTGCACGATTTCGTCTTCAATTAATCGCGCTTGGCGTATAAGCAAAGGCTGTAGCTTGGGTAGCAGAATCTCAATGACGGGCATAACTTTTTAAAGCATTAGTTTTGTCGTGTCACACTAGAGCCTTACATAAGTCATTGTAGTAGAAGTCATGTGGCATTTCAGTGGATACCAGGCCGGTGCAAGGGCGTAGTTCCGCATTCAGACCCCATCCACCCCTCATCTGTGATAGCAGCGTGTGTCACATGCGGGGCAACGCCATGTTTGATGCATTCTGGCGCAGGCAGCAGTATTGACGTTACGAGTCTGTAGACCGCAACATCTGCAGCACCAAAAGTGCAGCAGCGCCATGGAGTGGGCACCTGCAGTCCGATTTCGCCCGGCTAAGTGTTCCCAGGCGTTCGTTCCCTGCGGGGTGTTGGTGAACCTTACCTATGGGTTGGAGTAATGACGGTGACTTCTCACATTATAAGTTGTGGATTATGGCCTGCATCGTATTGCATAAATGTCCCATATAGTTGTCGGCCGGAGAAGTGATATTATTGACCTGTAGGTGCTGTATAGGTTTAACAATCGGCTTAATGACAAACATATGTTTTATACAATTTTTCGTTACTTTTCAAGTTTTGTTGTGCAGCACTCAGGGGACATATAGCTCGTTGGAGAAGAAGTAACGCCGCGCATGAATACTGTGTAAGTTCTTACGCTAAACGTGGTGACTGGTATGTGTTTTTGAAATTTTTGGCATGCGTTTTTGAGGCTTGCATTTATTCGTGTAGCACTCATGTCGTGCATTAGGCGTTGCAGTAAAAGTAATGGTCTGTATAAGTTTTTGCAGTAAAGTTTTGTTGCGTATTACTAATGTCCTGGCACTGCTGTCGCTAGGAGTTGTTGTCGTTGCAATAATGCCGCGACATTGTCAGTTGACTCTCGCCCAAATATCCGTATCAGCTCAGACCCGTCCAATGCTCCGCCGCAATCAGCCACAAGTAGGATAACTCCCAACGATTCGCGTCCATGAATGTGCTACCTCGAACCTGGTCGCCGGGCGATGCTGTCGACACCATGCTCAGCATTGCCTTGTGGTCGGACACGGCTGATGGTCCTCCGCTCAACGTATTATCCGAGCCGCGCTTGGCCGCGTGACTATAGCGCGCTTTAAGCCGGCACCTTCGCCGTTTGCCTTCGTTCTCTGCGCAGTGCCAATCATCGGTCAAGGTGCGGCGTCGGGGGCGGGGGCGGGTGGGGGGGGGGGGGGGGGGGGGGGGCGGTGCGGCCGACGGCGCGCCATTTGTCTCCAGTTGATCCAGTCATTAGCGGCAAGCACCGGCGCCGCGTATCGAGCGGGCGCGTCTGACAAGGCGGCGCGTCATGACGCGTGCCCACGCCGCCTCGTTACGCTGGACCGGCCGCCGCGTCCGTCGACGGCGCTGATTGACGTGCCGCCACGGCCGCAGCGTCCAGACACGTTGTCCGACGCTGATGCGGCCACGGCAGCACGCGCTGGGACGCCGTCAGCCGGCGGCGTCGGACGCGGTTTTTGGGTCTCGGGGAGGGGTGGACACTATGCAGGTCAGATGATGATGTCAAGGAGGGAGTGGAAATGACGGCATCAGTGCGCTGTCTTTCGGCCTAAACGGAATGTTTTAGATTTGAGGATATTGAAGCAAGCGGAATAAATGGTGAAACAAGTTACTTGTAAATATTGGTGTACTTTTTAAGCGGAAAAGACTGCTCTAGACGGCACAGTTTTCTTGTTTAGTGAATATGCTCCTCGATACGTCGCGGTTCGATCACGTTATGATATCTTGCACAGCACTCATTGAGCGCCAATTAGCGACCGTTATATCTGAAAATGGTGCTCACGAACGCCAGATATAGAACGCCTCGACAGCTATATTTTTCTTAGCCTTGATCGCCGAATGGCGTGCGACATGGCTGGGTTAAAATGACGTTATTATGACGTCATGGATGCCAAAGTGACTTTGAAATACTCTCCCCGATACACCTTTAGTAGGCCTTATGTCTTGGTCTTGAGAAGAGCAGGATTGTAAACAGCGCTAAAAGGTCTTCAAGATGACTATTTTAGTTCCAACCCCCTTATAAATGTGGAACACTCCCTTTAACAACGTACGGCGCGCATCCATTCTGTCGCACATCAAACTAGTGCAGAGTCGCGTCCACGACTGCATCTCCTTGAAATACGCGCATAAGCTTCAGCCATTTTACAATCCAGTCCTCGCTGTTCTGAATACGCAACATGTTACTCAGGTGAGGTACGGTTTTGGGAGGTGAAAGAAGCGTCATAAGTATTTGAGCAGCATTAAATATTCATACGGTGTTTTGCAGTGGTCCGCTATCACATAACTTACCTCGAAATTGCTTGAGAACGACAAAGCCTCTTCGTTCATTTTCCGTAAACTTGACAGGTCCCTGTAAAACAAGCACCATTAGAAAATGAAAATTAAAAACTCGACCTAAACGGCGAATACCAGAGATTGGCGCCGTTACTTTTCACGATTGCAGCTGTGAACATTGCTTTAAATAACTAGCATGTTCATGAAGTCTCTCAATGATTGCTGTCCTCGCTTAGCCAGAATCTCGTAGCATTAATGTCGTTTGCTTGCAGCGTGAGATGTCGCCCTGCCAACAACCAGCGTTGTTGGCAACAACCACATTGGCATTAAAGAAGGCCTTTAATACCAGCTGATGAGCCACGAGTCGGCATGGCAGCATGCCGATCAGGTCATCCCACGATCGCAGTGCAATGGCGGCAAGCAGTAGGCACGGATTATTCTCTGCGTGACTCGTCGCGTCTCGAAAGGCTGTCGGTCCAGTACCATTAATCCAGTGTCCTGGCGGGCGCCTGTAAAAGGGACGCCACGCCCTTCTCTGACCATTGTGTTGAATCAATGGCCATCCCGTGACGCGCATGATGACCTCCCATTATTGCCGTCATAATACATTCTGCCCGAGAAACTTTGTCAAAATTATTCATTAGTGACAAAATGTGGCGTATTAAAACCCTGTCCGAGTGGCATTCGCCGACACACCGGCCGATCGGAGTTACCACCATGAACCACAACCATCCAGCTGAGGAACCCACTCCCCTTCTCTGCTCCGCAATCGCCGGTCACACTCCGTATCACAGCAAATGGACGAGGTGTCCGGATCCGCATGGCCGGTCGGCAAGACCCAGTGTGGACGGACGTCTTAGATCCCTCCCCTTCCTCGCTCGCTGGGCGCGCCCCTGCGCCGCTGTGGCCGGACAGGCGGCTGGGGCCGGCCAGTTCCGGTCAGATGAACTCCCCGGGGAGCACAGGTGATACAGAGACACTGGCTGCGCCGCAATGGCCGCCGGTTCGGCCCGAAATAGCCGCCGATCGGGCCGGCCGACCGCGGCGGGCGGCGAGACAGCTCGGGCTGGCTGGCCACGGCGGGCAGCGAGACAGCTCGGGTCGGCTGGCCACGGCGGGCAGCGAGACAGCTCGGGTCGGCTGGCCACGGCGGGCAGCGAGACAGCTCGGGTCGGCCGGCCACGGCGGGCAGCGAGACAGCTCGGGTCGGCTGGCCACGGCGGGCAGCGAGACAGCTCGGGTCGGCTGGCCACGGCGGGCAGCGAGACAGCTCGGGTCGGCCGGCCACGGCCGGAAGCCTCGGGTCGGCCGACCATGGCCGGCAGCGAGACAGCTCGGGCTGGCCGGCCACGGCGGGCAGCGAGACAGCTCGGGTCAGCCGACCACGGCCGGAAGCGAGACAGCTCGGGTCGGCCGACCACGGCCGGCAGCGAGACAGCTCGGGTCGGCCGACCATGGCCGGCAGCGAGACAGCTCGGGTCAGCCGACCACGGCCGGAAGCGAGACAGCTCGGGCTGGCCGGCCACGGCCGGAAGAGAGACAGCTCGGGCCAGCCGGCCACGGACGCCGAACTGCGGCGGGCGATGGGACAGCTCGGTCCGCCACCGTCCGCCGAGACACGCTTCCGGCAGTGACATGACGTTCGGAGCGGGGTCTCTGACCCTGATGCTTGGAGCGGGCCACGGCCGCCTTGTCACAGGCTCTGAGTCAGTTTCAGGCAATCCACGTTCAGGGATAGCGTTATGAACCCCACCCAGATGACAAACTTGGATGTCACTTGGTGAACTCGGGATGGGGTCATGGGCTTCAGGAATGTAAGAACGTACTGCGTTCACCGAGTCGGGATGACACATATTAGGTTTACTGGTGCCAGCTACTATGCAATTTAGTTAATTCCTAGCGCTTCATTATGCAATCCTCGTCTTCTGTTGAGCGGATTACGTAAGCGTAAGGGGGCATAATGTGCTCCCGTGGCGGCACCAGAGGCACGCTTACTAGGCACGAGTGGGTGCTCTCCCCGTGCCCAGCTCCAATCTACAAAGGACAAAGCAAGAAAAGGCATCTACGTCCTAACTTATCGGTGATCACCACCCTTCACGCCAGTGTGCGCGCAGTTCAGCCCCCATTTCCTCGGCATGGCAACAGTGGCTTCGTCGTCCAAGTCCTGTCCTGGAGCAGCAAAGTGGGTCAGAGGCCCGTCTGACCGCCATATTGCGCTGCCCAGGCCGTACTTAACGCCGTAACGAGCAGGGGCCTGTCACGTTCCCGTGAAACTGTAACAACGACAGCTGTGCAGAACGCGCGCTGCGTTCTGTCGTCGTTACCAAGGGCAGGCTCTAGCCAAAAATAAAAATTGCTGGATAGATGAAGAGGCGTGATTTTTTTTTGTTTCGCGGAGAAACAGCCGCCGGGAATGAGCATGCGAGATGGACACGTGCAATTAAGTCATTTGTGTTGCCTGAGCTCTTCGAAACTTCTTCCAAAACCACAGCGAGGCAGCAGCTGTCCATATTAACATCATGACCAGCAGAAGTGTTGTGCGGCATAGGGAAGCGCGGACAGCTCCCCGTTTCACTTTAGATCGTCGTCTCCTGTCTGGATTATTCCAGCGCAAGCGATGAAATTGGCGTAGCCACGTTCCTAACTTTTTACATGAGTCTGAAAAGTTCCGATTTAATTTGACTACATGACCTAGTTTTAAGAGGTGGATAAGAAATCTTATCTCTTTTGGTTTGCGTCGCATGAGCATACGTCCTTAAAGCTGTTTCACTGGTATTGCTTTCAAGAGTGACCTCCGAGTTAGCCGCTGAAGGAAAACCACACTTTCCTGCCTCGCATGCACACATGGCGTGACTTTAATATGCTTGCGTTAATAGTTTCGTTTCATGAAACATAGCTTGGTCACTAAGCTATATCCTATTTCTACGAACACCGCAATCTACGCGTTGAAAATGCGGAGATTTCACGTTTCTGGCTGTGCTGCACGGTATGCTGTCCGGGCGGTTCCGTCCATTCATTACTTTTAGTCGTACCTGAGCTTCTAAGGAGTTCTAACACTTGAACGAGGAATTCAGAGCCAAAAGCAACAGGTCACGGCAAGAAATCGACGTCAAGTCATTAAACTGAACATTTGTGTAATGTGACCAAATGCCAATGCCGACCATGAGGTTGGCAATATGCAGTCATACAATGTAGAATGTCATGTCACACCTTGACAATAGCCCAACATCCCTTAGCAAGAGCTTCCCTTTCGTGTGCGGTATTGTGCATACGATGTAATGCAAGGCATTATCAATTCATGCTGAAACCTACAGTTTCCAGTGGACCGCTGAGATTGCTTTATTCGTTGTGGGCGTCGACGGTTTTAGGTAAGGGAAGTCACTGGAGCAAATTCAGACAATGCTTACGGCTTGCGGAGAAACCCAAGCAGCGCTAGCTCTCGAAGTTCTCATGCTTCCTTCTTCTTCCTTCTCCTTCCCTTTCTTCTCCCTCCCTCTCTCTCTCTCTCTCGTCTCTCTCTCACTCTCTCTCCTCATCTCGTCTCTCTCATCTCTCTCTCTCCTCTCTCTCTTCGCTCCATCTCTCTCTCTCATCTCTCGCGCCGTCCTCTCTCTCTCATCTCTCACTCTCTACTCTCATCTCTCTCATCTCTCTCTCTCCATCATCTCTCTCTCTCCTCTCTCTCTCCCTCTCTCTCTCATTTTCTCCCTCAGGCCAACCAGACGGACGCCACGTGAACCCTGTCTCTCTCCCTTCCTTCTCTTCCGTGGTTCCACAGCCCGTCTCCCTGGCCCTCTGCCACCCACCAGCCGTCTCGGTGCGGGCCGGACGGGTGCCGGGGAGGCCCGACCGGGGCAGCCGGGTGATCAGGCGCCCGCCGTGCGGCCTCAGTCGTTGTCCACGGTTTACGAGCGCAGCCACCGCGGTCGCCGCCTGGGCCGAAGCTTTCATTGCAACTGCATGGAGTTAACTGCAACTTTTATGGGCGGCAGCAGGACGTAAAATACCGGATCGACATGAGTGACCATGGGCTCAATTGATGAAACCTTCTGGAACGGTCACGTCTTCTCTAGGAAGGGATCAGCCGAAATGGCGCACTCATCAGTAATCTACGGAAAATAGTTGTCTGGCCAAGGAAATTACCTGATATTCGACCGTATCGCAGCATGCTGTATTTGAATCCAAGGCATGTCTGAATTGTGTAAGAATATGTTTCACAAAATGGCGAGAAAGCGCATCAAATTTTGAAATTCGGATCACTCAAGGGTTTCACAATAATGCGCTGACCAGCAACTTTGGTGAGGTAACCACAATGCCATATTGTCTTTATTTCTGTGGTCTAACTGAACGAGTCAAAATTTAACGAAACATTGTCACCCAACAAGTATTTACACAGGATAATATTTATGGATTGGCTGCAAGTTACTATAAATCTTTTATTCGTGCCTTTGCTCAGGAACGCACTCAAAGAAAAACTCGTGTCTTTTATTGTGCTCGTCATTGAACAAATAAGGGGCCCTTAGACATCCATAGAAAGGGAGAAAAGAAGAGTACGAAGGCAGCACTCTGTCGTATTGCTCACTGAATCACACCATAAATCCGAGGGGCCTGGACTTTTAAGCACACTATACAAGGTACCTGAAAAGATACCAACTCAAGAACTTCTGGTGTCAGCAAAATGTCGAGAGGCCCACAGCACAAGGAGAACACATTTCGAATGTCTGCCTCTTTTGCTCTCTAGGGAGTGCCTACAAGGACCTTTGTCGGGGCTCCCGGGCTACTCCTGTCGGCGCTCCCTTGAGATCGAATATCTTCACCAAATTTTTATGTCCGCGCCTGTTCGTGGCACTGTGTTTCAGTTATAGGTGGGGAACACAGACACTCAATTCCCCACGTACGGAATGCTGGCGATGATCCATCACTCTTGCAGCTATTGCAGCCCGGTGCTTCATCACTGCTGTAGATCAAGTACGTTTACCCAATATATACATATACATAATCTATAATGCCTAAACCCGAAGAAATCCTAAAACCAGGCAAAGATACGTTTTCATGTTCCCGAAGGAGCCACTGAATAGCATATGCGTCACACTGGCCGTTGTTAGAAAAGCGAAGTCGCCACTGACGTTTGTCATAGATTTACGTGCATTTGTTAGCGGAAACAAGCATAACAGAACAAGCAGAGAATGTAGATTAATATTCAAGATACTTTTTCTTTCCTTGTTGCATTTCTTAGATACTCCGATATTACGGATTACTGCGCTTCATGTTAAACCTTATAGTCATCAACGCTGTTCCCTACAATAACGGCTTCAGTTCGTTAAGTTTGCGCGCAAACAATATTACAGCAAATCTTTTACGGTCCTAACTTTAGATGTATTCTAACATACAATTGGGTATAATTTACGAACATTTGATGATAACGATTGAGCACTAACCTTATTCCGGGCGGGCCCCCCCCCTCGTTAATGCTATTTCAGACAGGGAGGGGCCAATCCCCTGTGAGAACTCGCTGAAAAAGCTGGAACCACTGACAGATTATATACAAAAATCGACATTCTATGTCTCTTGACCAAATCTGCATTTGAAAAAGAAGATCTTAAGAATTCCCCATGGGGGGCCACAGGGGGAAAACAAAATTTGGCCAGTTTTTTCATAACGCAACATAGCTGTAACGCTGCCAACCGATTTCGGGTAGCCAACGCAAATGGTAAGATCATGATACGTTATAGCAACATCATATCAACATTATTCATTAGCGTATCCAGGAGGTTCAAAACGGGTTGACAGCAACGAATTAAAAAAAAGAACTTAATGGAGTCCATGATGATAAAGTGGGACGGGCTCATGCTTTGTCATAATAAAAACAGATGTCAGCCGATCTTTTTTTGACAAAGATGGAGCCAGAGTGCTAGTGTCGGTGATGAAGAAGCCATGCTGAGTGGGTAGCAGTTATCTTGTTGAACGTAATGATCCTACGCCTTGTTAACACGCGCTCGATTTGAGGTTAATTTGGACCCCGAAGGTTTCTCCAAAACAACCATCAAACGGCACGGCATAGCAGCATCACAACTTGCCTGACTACTGGCAATTGATCGCCCAGTCTTTGATATACAAAGTTGGGTCTTGTAAGGTCGCTGACCAATGGCACGTCAAAGTCAGACCATGGGTGCCAGCAAACATCACTCCTAGGGAATCGTTCAATCTGCTGCGACACCGAAGTGACGCATGAGTGCGTGAGTGATGCGGACGTCGGAGTGAGTGTTGTGTTAGACGCAGTCATGCGTCTTTGAGATGATCTCTTAGACAATAAGACAATTTAATAAAGGATTACGAGAAACTGCATCGACCTTGGCATGTGGGATTGCTATAAAGGTCAGAGCGAAATCAAAACAAAACCACTTTTTATTTGAGGACAAGTCCTATTATGGGATAGTTTTTGACGTTCATTTCAAATGTCCTCATAACAAGGACGTCAGCAGATATTTAATTTGGACTTAAGAGGTTTTGGGGGCCAGAGAGAGTCACTGACACAAAATTACCCTATCGACCTGTTGTTTAAAGGAACACCGCTTGCAGTAGTCTTCAACGCGTATGCCAATTAAAAAAAAAACAATCAAGAAGGTTTTTGGTCATCTCGACCATGTGAAGGTCAATACTGTCATTAACCTGAAATTATCAACCGTAGCCTTTTGCTCAGAACTGGTATTTATGTTAAAAGGGGCCATACAAGGAGATCCGAGTGCCCTTTGGACTTCAATCGGGACTTTTACCTTATTTAACCTGAAGGTCATGATTAAGGGACCGCAAAATGTAACACAAGTGGGTTCACATACAGGTCACTTACTTTGTGAATTTGGTGACTCTAGATTGCTTAGTTTTTTTTAGATCTCAGCGGGATCGAATTGACCCCCACCCCAACCGAGCGCCTCACATTCACCTGGCCACCGTGTGTTGATTAAGTATGTTGTCTATACAGCATGCATGGACATGGACAAGACTTTCCTTCCTCCTGCTTCACGCGTGCGCACATTTTCCCACGCTGTCTTCACGCGACATTGTGGTGTTTTCCATAGGAATGAGGTCAGGTTTATCTGCACCCCTTTCACAAAACCTGAACACACGTAAAAGTCAAACGAATTATCATCAATTTCCACCGTAAATTACCATTAAACGTACGTGTAAACATTGCCGGCAGTGCAAAGTGTGGCTAGCAAAGTTCGGCTATCTTGGTGCCGATAAATATTCCTTACACGGCTGCATTGGTGACTCTTAATGCAGTCCGCATTACTAGGAAACTGCCCCTATTTCTAGCCTTGGGACCACTTCTGCCTTTACTATTTTGTTGTTTTGCGATGATCATGCCCATGCTGCAACTGTCTTATTCAACAAACTAAACGTTCCCTATGAAAACAGAGCAGTGTGTATCATCCAATAAAATCGCCATATTGACATGATCGCCAAACTTTACAGAGGTTCCTCCCAATACCAGCCACAGAGCACAGCCCTGCGCATTCTATGTGCTCGAGTTTTAACACAATGCGAGCAAGACCTTCTAAACAAGTCAGCCAATTTCAAGGACCTGCTCCCGTAGTGGCGGCGGGATCCCTAGTAGGGGTGGAATCCCTGGTGGGAACAAAATCCTGAGTGGCGGCGGGATTCGCAGTGGGCCCGAAGTACTCTAATGGAGATATCACCCCCGCCCCCTGACAGGGATAGGGTTAAGTGGTATTTAATAACACGTTGTATGCAGCTCACAAAATAGTTCGCATGGAATACATATTCCCTAACAGCGGCACTGAATGCACTGCAAGGGGCCGATGAGCCCAGCTAACCATGATTCTAGCACCCACTTATATTTTTGCATAAGTACATTGCCACGAATGTAATCTTGCATTTTGATAGCGCGAATGTGCCGATCAGCGCAATTATCTCAGCTTGAAAAGAGCACCGTGGAATTTCTGTCACCAAATTTCACATTCAAAGTCGGTCCATAATCGGATTATTCTCACTCCTACATGGCAACTGCTCGGGTCCCTGCGGCCGGGCCGTTCTCAGTCTTGTGCAGCGGAGCCTCGTGTCATCAGGTGGACGAGCACGGTTCCGTCCGACGCGGTGGGGGTTGCGGGGGCGAGGCCTGCTTCCAAGCTTCGTCGCGGAGCGGCTCACACAAGACACCCCCTGGGAGCCAGTGGAGGGCGGGGGTGGGGGAGGGCCCTCTCCCGAGAGGTGTGGGGTGGTGTCGCGTGTAATGGCCGACCCACGCCGCCAGCGCGCACCGCGCGTGGAGGTGCTAAATTTTTAGTTGGCGAAACAGCTCTGTTTATGGTCCGTGCTGAGCACCTCAAGACGACGACGGCGATTTACGGGTGACCCGTGTTATTAGGCCATTAGCGGTGCGCCGCTGAGGGGGCCTTCCAGGTGGGATATCAACCAGCGACGAGGACCAGGCGAGAGGCCGCGAGGTCTCGTCGCTCTCTCGTGCTCTGTCGCGCGGAAGGCGTAGCTACGAGCGCTTACCGTGACGCCCTCAAAGCTGATGTGGTTGAGCGCTTTCTTCAGCATGGCCTCCCAGTCGCCGTTCCTGTAGCGAAAGTCTGAGAGCCGCGACTTGGTGGGCAGAGGCGACCGGTTGTGGCGTACCTGCCAGTCCACCTGCCGAAGCAGAACGTGACTTTCACTACACAACTCAGACACTTGTGGAAGGGGCTACGTATAGATTCTGTCAACATGTGGTCAGTGTATGCTAAAATGTTGCAAACATTTTGCAGCTAACGGGCTGCTGGGTTGTTTTGCGGCGTCAGTAGGGTTGTGCTTTGGCGTCTTCTGCCAATCTGACTTGATGAGGGCAGCGCTGGATGGTCACATAGCACTCATGTAAGCGACAATGGATGGTCACCATCACCTATAATGTAGACGCCGATGGGTGGTCAGCACCACGTCTGATACACGTGACGAGGAGTAGCCACCATGGCGCCTGATATGGGCGACGGTTGGAAGCCACCGTCACGCCTGATTTAGACGCCGATGGGTGGTCAGCACCACGCCTGATGTAGGCGACAAGGGATAGTCACCATGGCGCCTGGTATGGGAAGCCACCGCCACGCCTGATGTGGACGCCGATGGGTGGTCAGCACCACGCCTGATATAGGCGACAAGGGATAGCCACCATGGCGCCTGATATGGGCGACGGTGGGAAGCCACCGTCACGCCTGGCGTGGACGCCGATGGCAGTTCACCATCACACCTGATGTAGGCAACAATGGATGGACAATCATGCCTGACGTAGACGATAATGGGTGGTCAGCACCACGCCTGATATAGGTGACGACGGATGCTCACCATCACGCTTGGTGTAGGCGGCTACGGATGGTCACATTACGCCTGATGCAGGCGGCGACGGGTGTTCACCATCACAGCTGATACAGGAGACGATGGATGGTATAAGTATGACGCAGTCCTGTACAACTGAACAGCTGTGCCGCATGACACAGGGCCCTCGCGCCATCAAACCGTCCAAGCGCAAATCGCAAAATTTTGCCTTGGAGGTGATTTTGTCACGAGGTACTTTTAATATTCATCCCTAATTCAGATTCAGCGAACAAAGGAGCATATGCTGTGATAAACCAGCTGGTAAACATAAATACTAACATAAAAACAATCATAAACAAGCTTCACTTGTTTGAACCTCATGCCGTGTCATCTGGCCGGATGAAAAAAGTTGCTCGCACTGTATCTGAGACGGGTATCTGTGTTGTGCTTTACATGTTCTCAAGTGGGCGGTCGTATAACAATTTAGGCACATATAAGTTAAATTTTACCACAGACTTACACTTCACAGAGGAAAAATTGCACTCAGCCGTTCAAAAAGTCGGTTTTTCCTCGGTGATGTCCACATCCAACAGGAATCATTTCAGTAGCATTAAGTTCCTTCATCCTTCACAAGAAACCAAATGTTAACGCCCCCGGCTTTCAATTTGCTTTTTGACCGTAATCAAGTTAGCGCGCTGTGAATACGAATTGGTCGCCGATGCCGTTTCATGCATATTCGCACGGCTCTATCAGCGCCGATGGCTATGTCCATTTGGCACTTGATAAGGACTAGAGGGGAGGCCAGCATGAGGTCGATTGCATATTCAGTGTGGAAGACGCCTGCCAGACCCAGGGGCGTCCGATGATTTCAGTCCTCGCAATGAATAGCTTACTGCCAAGCCGCGGCGCCTGATAGCCACGCGGACGGCACTCAGTGCCTTCCGCCATTCCACAGACTCTGCGCGTCAGAAGTCGTCATTGGCTCCCTCTTCCGCCCTCCGGTTATGATGAGCCTCGATATTAGGACGACCGCGTGGGTTCGACCCGCACTTTAGATCATTAATTCGTTTGCCAATTGTTGAGGGTGGAACTGAATGCGATAGCCTAAATCGTTATATGACTTTCTACTGGAAACGGTGACAAGTCAACGCTGTGTTGGTGCGCTGAGACGGCAAATTGTTTATGACCGTTACAGACTGGTTATTATTAGCTAGAGGACGCTGGTATGACTTGAGTGGAGCTCAAAAATAAACGTAACGATTTTGCGGATTTTTTTACCTTGCGCTTCGTGAGAGATGCGGATGTTCGAAGCTCATATCGGCATCGGACCAATGAACGCATCGCTAGCCTCACATAATGACAATCATTTACCGACAACCTGGAAATCGCGCTAAAACCATGCACTAGCACAAGGGAAGCCATTATTTTCACGCCCGTTAGCGATGATTACCGGCCGCGTCAGGCGCCGTTTGGCTCCCGCGGTGCCGTGTGGGATCGATCAAAACTCGATGAGCGCGCGAGAGCTGGCGCCGGCAGGATCGTAGCACAGAACCCGCGGTCACACCACGTGCCGTCCGCGATCTATACGCTGCCACCCGCGTTCACAGCGAACAGGGACGCGGCGAGGCCGGAGAGCCCAGCGGCTGTGCCGTGGCATTAGTCCTGATTTGTGCCCCGCCCAGTCTGTGGGAGCCAATGTGGACCACATCGCGCGGCGTCGGATAGAATTACGCTCGCCATCCGCCTCTCATTTCGCGAATTAACGGATATCCGGCTGCAGGGTATTGCGGCAGCTGCGGCGGGGGCGGCGGCGGCGGCAGGGCCCGGCGGGTACGGCGCTGTTTGGGACCCGGTCTGGCCCCCATAGAGGCTCGTCCGGTCCGGCGCTGGTTGGAGCCCGGCCCAGCGTTGGTTGGGGCCCAGTTCGGCGTTGGTTGGGGCCCGGTTCGGCGCTGGTTGGGACCCGGTCCGGCGCTGGTTGGCGCCCGGTCCGGCGCTGGTTGGGGCCCGGTCCGGCGGCGGCTAGCTGTCTGCCGCTGCCGCCATCAGGACCGTTCTCCCGGCCGCGATCCGGCAGCAAGAGTAATGGCGGTAATTCCGACGGCGGCCGCCCTGGGAGGAAGGCGCCGGCACCGGCTAGTTGGCGCGACAGGTAGAAATAGCCGGCCGGATAACTCACGCGCCCGCCGCTTTTCCGCCGCTCTTGAAATGGTTCGGGCGCCGTAATGAAATGAGGCAGATCACTTCATGAATCCGGAAATAGACCAGTTTTGCGCGGCTATGGCGGATTAATCGGCCCCTGGAGTGGACGTTTGGTTGGGTTCTTGCGGTGGCGGCATGTGCGACACAAAACGCGGTCAGTTTCGCGCAGTCGCTGCAGCTTTTTGCAAGTGTGCTTCCTGCACTGACTTAAAGTTTATGTGATTTAAAAATAATCCACTTGCACGGATTTGTTCTGCCTTATGAACAGGCCTATATTTAAAAAGAATCTAGAAAAAGACTGTCGGAAGCAGGTAGTCGTTCAAATGATCTTCACAAGGAGTGCTGAACAAACAACACTCATTTCCCCCGCAAGGGGCCCGCGGCATTGTGCTGCCACTGAGAATCAGCCTGAAGAGCGAAGTAAACGTAGTTACCTTCGGGACCATGAACGTGAGTCAAACGCTTCTCATAATCTCTGGCGACTTTTGAGTCACAGTTTTGCGGACGCATTAAGACGAGGTATTATTATCATGAACGGAATGGTTGCCCGGACTATCATCCTTGTCTTGTGTGCGAGATACACAAACTTTCGGCCAGTTAACTGTACGGCCGTCTTCAGGTGCTATACAATCCTGAGAATGTCTGGACGATGTTTATTTGCCAGCTATTATGCGTGACAAGCCGAATACTGTCTTTGGAATTGCTCGGCTTCAAACCAGAGCCGTCACGATGCCGTCCAAGCAGTCTTCTTGATTGCCAGTACAGTGTGCCCCCAACTGAGCTACTTACCAACTGAACAATCATTATCCACTCCTGTTAGCTCATTTGGAAGAACCCTGCGCTTGCAATCATGAAGGCCTGGTTCGGATCCCAACAATTTGAAGGAGATGACTAGGATTATTGGCACCTACATGGCTGATAACCAAGCACCATCCAGTTCTTCTCAGTGCTTCATAACATCTGTCCACGAAGGGAGATTCAACTGGCCGAAGCGTTGTGTAATTAACGCATCAAACGAGGATGATTGTCCGAACAGTTATTCATTCATGACCTTTGAGTTGATGACGCTGTTTCAAAGACATTCCTGCATGGATACCGCCCAAGCAGACTGAGCCGCAGTGCAAGTACGGTTGTGTGCTTAAACGTTGTGGATCACTGTTATGTGGGCCTTGGCTTCAGAACGGCACCACTTGGTGTATGCTGCACCAGGCATGTCAGGTTTAGTACAGACAATGCATCGCGCGTAAGCTATAAATTGTTGCTCGCGTGTGGCCTCTCCTCGTTGGAATGAGTTGGAACACACTGCATCTATTTATAATATAGAAGATTGTCGCACGTGGCTCTGATTCTGGTTGGCCAACCAGCCTGAAACACCGCCGCCACACCTACCAGTAACCAGTTTCTCAGAGCGAGGGGTAATAGATCGATCCATACAGGTCTTTTATAGCCATGAGTAACGCGAAGTACAAGAAAATGAGATGTGCGGCGATGTATACCAACATCTGTTTACGAGAGAGCCGTGCACGACCCGGACAGGCCTGGGACCGCTGCAACGGAAAACGGACAAGGGGGATGTTACAAATCGATGGAGCCACGTAATGTGCTTCTACAAAACGCTATCATGATAACGAGATTATGATTGAGCGATCGCAAATAGTGATACAGAATGTAAGTATGCATGCACAAACAAAAAATGAAATAAAACCAAAAAATGTTGCCTTTATTTTTGCTGCGGTCAAGACGAATTTTACCAGGTGCACATTTTAGGCATCAGTATAAGACAGTTGTGTCCGCTACCCCTCACGGAGGCCTCAGTTGGAAGTGACCACCGTGACCTAAACAAAGCGCAGCGGCCCAGTAATGCTTCACACAACAATGTACTTCCAACGTGCAACTTTCCGAGACGTACGTCGAGCGAACGCCAAACTCCGGCCAAGTCAATGGCATGGCTCGCTGTCCATTAGCGTGTGCATTAATGCTTGAGTGGGCCGTCAGTAACGGCGAGAAGTCGGCTGCCTCCTCGATCCGTCGCCTGAGCCCGGAGCGGCGCGGCGCGGTCCCCGGGGCCGTCCGGGATGCGATTCCGCCTGTCAGCTCGAGCCCAGCCAGAACGCGCCGTCCTGCTGCTACCTGGCAACGGCCGGACGGCGCGGGCCCGGAATGGCCATGCCACCAGCTGACCCCTGTCTGGAGGCGGCGGGGGCGTTCGAGGGCGGAGAGCAGCGGGCGGGGCGGGTGATGGCTTGTCTCTCCAAGGATCAAAGGCCTCAGATAGGAAGTTCTCTGATTCAGATGTCACCGTTTCCACGGGCGTTTCTGTGTGGATGAGCGTAACGTGGGCCGTGCGAAGCGACGAGTGAAATGTTTTTGTTCTATAGAGCGAGAGCTCAAGCACTCTGGGACCAATCGAGTCCAGGCAGTCGTCTCGCCGGAGGTGAGAGCTATTCAAGCAGGGCTGACTGAGATAACAGCACTCTCAGAGACAATCGAACATCTCCTTTGTCTGAGGTCAAGGCGTGCTCTTCTACGGAAACAGTGTCTGGTACGTGGGAACTGGAAACCGCCCGGGCGTTTCTGACATACGCATCATGTATCAAGCTCACATATCGAAAGCTTGTCGAGCTTGTGCATTGCGAGTCCGTGCATCCAGAACAAGGAGGGCACCCTCCACTCCGCAGAACACAGCGCACTCCAGTGTAATCTCGCCCGCTACCTGTAGTGCACGCTGCGCTAGAATGCACTGATAGAGTCACAATGTCTGCCTCTTGGCAAGGTCGTGTACCGCGGGACAGCGGTCGGTCGGCCGCTCACCTGGTGCAGGGTGGAGGCTATGGCCCAGATGCCGTCGTAGGCGTAGCCATGGAAACGTGAGTAGGCGTTCCCACGCACATGGTTGTACTGCTCGTAGTACTGGCTGGCCGTCTGCAGACGAAATGAAAATATTAGAGGCTTGTTGAAGCGTGTTGGCTGGTGATCGAAGGTGGGCGCATGCAGCGTTTACCGATTGCCGAAGATCAGTTACGATACCGTTTCACTTTTATCAGTTGCCTTTTACAGTATGTTATCTGCGTATTTTGAAGAATTACCGCAACTGGTTTCAGCGGATCTCCTTCGATCTAACGTATTTCATTCTTTAGGCATGACAACGCTCAATGCACAAGGAATATCCTAATAGCTGAGAGCCCTAAGGCTCATTCTTTTGTCGGCGGCACGGGGCGCAGTGATGGATCAGAAATGGAGTCTGTCGGTTGCCTTGATTTACTCGATGAGCCATATTCTACAGCTGTATCCAAGAAGAAACAAATTGAGGATGTCCTCAATAAGGCTTCGTGATGATGTCTGACATAAATTCAAGGAAGCGATTTCCAAAACAAATCGGTTGTCTTCCATGACAACATAAGGAAATGGACTCTTCATTTTGCCGTCTGATAAACTGCGCATTGGAATAGTTGCCCTGGATTTCGTTTTAGATTCAGTATGCTGCCGAAACACGAGCAAAGGCAAATGAAACATATTTCTGAAGAGGGGTTGGTCGACACGATCTCTTATCACACTGTTTACAGTAATGCGTCCCCGTGTAACCAGCCATACAGTCAGGGTTATCTATTGTGGTGTATAAATGCATCATCATTCATTACACTTGATTTTCCATCATACATCCCACAGAGGTGTGTGCAATTACATATGTCATGCTGGTGGAAATCATACACACGCTGTTTGCAAGTCTTCGCCGAGCAGAATTGTGTTCGACGCGAGCTGAATCATGGATCGGCTCATGAGTTAGTCGTTTTGGGGTGGGTCAAGTCATGAACTGCAACACTTTTTCGTAGATTTCATGAGCTGAATCGTGAGCCGATGGTGTCTTAAGATTATGTGTCAGCGAGTCATATGGCCCAAATGAAAATGGCAACATAAAAAACACCCAGCACCCCAGACAAATCAACAGCCCATTTCAGATTGCTAAAATGAACAGCATGCAGCAGTAATATAAAACGCTTTGCAAGATCAGCAACGAAGTTCTCTACCGCAATTTATAAGTAGCCAGCCCAATATTGTTGATCCTGAGCTAAATTTTACAGAATCTCAGCCAGGAACCAGAGTATATTGCATTGTGCAGATATCCTTCATTCCTATATTGTATGCTAGAATCAATGAAAGGTCGTCTGCTACCTTGAAAATCTAAGTGCGGTCATATGCATTCAGGTCAATTATCACTGCAATGAATTAATCCATGACTGACCCCGCACTACATTGCTCCATACTACTTGGTCAGCTGCAAGCATGCTTTTTCGGAAGCTATGTGAAATAAACAACAATAGTGGCGAGGTCGATTAGTCCCACACGCGCACTGTATCTCACAGGCGACCCACAAGGGATAACATAACTAATCCTTTTCACGCAACTTGGGTGCAAATCTGACCTCCAAATTTAGTAGTCTTGGAATGCGGGTAAAGTGGCGCACAACACTTTTATCTCCACGCAGCGCGGAAGTCTGTTTTCACTCCTCACTCCTCGTAGAGTGACCCGATGATGTAAGTTTGGAACACCCTGGTGAAAACGGCGGTCACCGCTAACTTTAGCTTATTCTAATTCAGTTCTTCAGTTCAGTTCAGCTCCTTGCTGACCGGAAGTCGAGGAGCGAATGAATTGGATTTTCGCTGCGCTCTTTTGTAAGAAATGTTAGTCTAATTTGTAATACATATTACTTAAGTAACGTAAGGTCATCACATGTTTGTAACTTATGGTAGATGATCCCTATTGCAAGAAATTAAATCGAATGTTGAATTGTTGGCATGCCATCAATACCAATGTCAATACCATGTTAATGCACTTGGACGGGCACTTGGCAAGTGCGGACTGCCAACTATCAGGTTCTATGCAGTCTAGTTCGCAGGTGTCAGGTAGAATTGCAGGCCTAGAACTGAGACTTGAGAGAGCTGGTTGGTAGCAGGTTACAGGAAAAACATTCGTTGCCGCACTGCATATGCTAGGTTCAAACTATAAACTTGCTGCTCAGCTATTCGTATGTATTTACATATCATGGTATATAGTATATATATATATATATATATATATATATATATATATATATATATATATATATACGACTGAGTTATAAAACAACAAACCGAACATGAGTTGGATTTTTGATTTTGCAAGCGGCGCGAGTCATGCGTCAAGTGATTCAATGCAAGCAATGGGTCTGAACCGAGCTGAATAAAAAAAATGGGCCCGCCATGAGCCATGGCTGGATGGGATCTCAAAATCTGTGACTCGGTCCTGAGCCGGATAAAAAACGAGTCAAACACAACTCTATCCCCAGACCAGCAAAGCAATGCCTTTCGAAAAAATAAAGACGTCGACAAAGTCCGTCACATTCCCCTGCGTCCCGGCATGACACAGTCAGCTGGCGCCAGTTTGCGCAACAGCTGTCCGCGCTCGACCAGGCCGGCAGCCGCCCGGTGCAGCCAGCGGGACGTACCATGCCGGAGACGGTCTTGCGCTGGTTGTTGCTGAGGTGAAGCACGTCGGCAAACACAGCGCCCGGCAGGGCATGCAGCACCTCGGCCACGGTGCAGGGCTCGGCGGCCTCCGGGCCGGCGAACTGGTCCTCGAGCCACCAGCTCTCGCCGTACAGGCCCACCAGCACCCACTGGTAGCGGCGACCAAACATGCCCTCGCGGCGCGCCTCACAGAATATCCGGCGCGCCCAGCTGGCGTCGAAGCTGCCCAACACTATTCGGACGTCCTTGCTCTTCAGCTTCTGCAGCTGGTCGGTGATCTTGCCGGCGAACGTCTGCATCTCCACCACTTCCACGGAGAAGGTGTCAAGCAGGCCGACCATGTCGTTGTGCGCCTGCAGCAGGGGCACACGTCAGTGGCGGCCCGAGCGAGCCCGTCGGCCCAGACGTCCGACGCCCAATTTATGACCGGTATCAATGAAAGAGCCCTGTCGACCATATATTCATTTCGAGCAGGTCATCCCTCGCCGGCAAATGTAACCGGTGACAGGACATCAATTGCAGGAACACGTTCAGGGACGAGCGGGCCGCTCTATACCGCCCCGCCTCTGCTCCGAGCCGTGAGCGCCACTCGACCGGAACGACCGTCCTGAAGGGAGTGACCTCTCCAGCTGGCCGCGCGGCGGCACTGGCGGCGGCGGCTGCCTGGGGAGGGCGGCTGCCAGGTCGGCCCGGCTCCGCCACGGGCGCGTACTCCCACGGCTCGTTGATTTGTTATTCAGCCAACTTGGTACCATCTTGAGAAGATGATTGCTTTCCGGGAATGGTCCACTCGGGTCAGCTTTGAATGCAGTGGACGCTTGCGACGTCGTCAGAGAAGTGGCCGCTGGCATTCACGCATCGCTCGCCAGCAGGTTGCGCACCATTTTCGTATTGCCTGGCGTAGCCAGCGGCCACCCAAGCGAACGAACCTCGCGACATCTACAACCTTAAACTCGACACCTACACCAAAGCTGTCGGCAAGCCTCCTAACACAGTGTCACAGGCTGACCTGGCCTCGCGTTCCTCCAGCGTCCGGGCTGAGTTGCGTGCGTTCGCGACCCCCGCCCACCGGAACGCCTCGGGGCAGGCGGACGGCCGTCCCTCGTGAGCTGCCGGCGGCACGCTCTCCCGACAAGTTTCAACGGCTCCGTTTGTTTACTGGCCGGGGCGCGGCGCGCAGCAATTAATGCGGGCCGGCCGGCGGCCGGGTAGCGTGCCACGTCGCAGGCGGCACGCCCCGGCCGGCACAGCCCCGCCCACCACAACAGCGCGCCAGCGCCCCGGCCAGCGACGACACAATCAGGCGAGCCAGAGCCAGAGTCAGAGCCAGAGCCCGAGCCACCGCCGCCACGCCCGTAAGCGGCCAAGTTTTCCGCTGTTTGCCGGCAACTTCCATCGGCATCTCTCTACCGCAGAAGACGTTTTGTTTGCGGTTACTCCGGCAGTGCTGAAAGGCCTGGCTAGCTAGGGAGGATTGTGTGGTTACACGGGCTGTGTGTGCATTCACCTTCCGTTACTCTTCCCTCTCCGCAGACACGAGAGCACGGAGGTAAGGGAGGTGGGTGGCTGCTGAAATTTGAAAATGTCTCTCACACCAGGAAATTTTCAAATTTTCGTGGCATGAGTCTTGTAGCGAAGAGTATCAAAACAGGTCAGAGCACATGCTGTAAATTCCAGGTTCCAACATGTTGGAACCCGGAGCGTCATCTCGTCTGTCTGTCTCTGTCTCGTCTCGTCTCTGTCTGTCTCTGTCTCTGTCTCTGTCTCTGTCTCTGTCTCTGTCTCTGTCTCTGTCTCTGTCTCTGTCTCTGTCTCTGTCTCTTCTCTGTCTCTGTCCTGTCTCTGTCTCTGTCTCTGTCTCTGTCTCTGCTCTCTGTCTCTGTCTCTGTCTCTGTCTGTCTCTGTCTCCTTGTCTCTGTCTCTGTCTCTGTCTCTGTCTCTGTCTCTGTCTGTCTCTGTCTCTGTCTCTGTCTCTGTCTCGTCTCTGTCTCTGTCTCTGTCTCTGTCTCTGTCCTCTGTCCTGTCCCTGTCCTGTCCCTGTCCTGTCCTGTCTCTGTCTCTGTCCTGTCTCGTCTCTGTCTCTGTCTCTGTCTCTGTCTCTGTCTCTGTCTCGTCTCTGTCTCTGTCTCTGTCTCTGTCC